TTTATAGCAGTACAGGTTTTACAAGAAACAAGAAAAATCTCAAACAGCAATCAAACCTTATACCCAAAGGAACTAGAAAAAGAAAATAAAGCCCAAAGTTGGTAGAAGGAAGATAAAAGTTTAGAGTGGAAATAAATGCAAAAAATATGTATCAGTGAAACCAAGAGTTAGTTCTTTGAGAAGATAAACACAATTGATAAACCTTTAGCCAGACTCCTCAAGAAAAAGCAACTAATAAATAAAATCAGAAATGGAGAAATAGGGCGCCTGGGTGGCTCAGTTGGTTAAGCGACTGCCTTCGGCTCAGGTCATGATCCTGGAGTCCTGGGATCGAGTCCCACATCGGGCTTCAGCGGGGAGTCTGCTTCTCCCTCTGACCCTCTTCCCTCTCGTGCTTTCTATCTCTCATTCTCTCTCTAATAAATAAATAAAATCTTAAAAAAAAAAAAAAGAAATGGAGAAATAACAACCAACACCACAGAAATACAAAGAATTATAAAAGAATACTATGAAAAATTATATAACAAATTGGAGAACCTAGAAGAGATGGATAAATTCCTAGAAACATACAATCTGCCAAAACTGAATCAAGAAGAAATAGAAAATTTGAACAGACCAATTACTAGTAACAAAATTGAATCTGTAATCAAAAAATTCCCCAACAAAAGTCCAGGACCAGATGGCTTCACAGGTGAACTCTACCTAACATTTAAAGAAGAATTCATACCTATTCTTCTCAAACTATTCCAAAAAAATAGAAGAGGAAGGAAAACTTCCAAATCCATTCTACAAGGCCAGCTTTACCCTGATTCCAAAACCACACACCACTAAAAAAGAGAACTACTGGCCAATATCTTTGATGAACACAGATGCAAAAATCTTCAACACATATTACCAAACCAAATTCAATAGTATGTTAAAAGGACCATTCACCATGATCAAGTGGGATTTATTCCTGGGATTCAAGAGTGGTTCAATATTCTCAAATCAATGTGATCTATCACATTAACAAGAAGGATAAAAACCCTATGATCATCTCAAGAGATCTAGAAAAAAGGATTTGATACAATATTTGTTCGTGATAAAAACTCTCAATAAAGTGAATTTAGAGGAACCATACCTCAACATGATAAAGGCCTTCTATGAAAAACCCACAGCTAACATCATTCTCAATGGGGAAAAACTGAGAGCTTTTCCCCGAAGGTCAGAAACAAGACAAGGATGTCCACTCCCACCACTTTTATTCAACAGAGTACTGGAAGTCCTAGCTGCAGCAATCAGACAAGAAATAGAAGCATCTAAACTAGTAAAAAGTAAAATGGTCACTACCTGCAGATGACATGATACTATATATAGAAAACCCTAAAAGACTACCAAAAAAAAACTATTCGAATAAAGGAATTCAGTGAAGTTGCAGGATACAAAATTAGTATGTAGAATCTGCGGCATTTCTATATATTCATCATAACGTAGCAAAAAGAAAAATTAAGAAAACAATCTCATTCACAATTGCACCAAAAAGAATAAAGTATCTATAGTTTAACCAAGGATGTGAAAGACCTATACCCTGAAAACCGTAAGATACTGATGAAAGAAACTGAGTGATGCAAATGGAAAGATATTCTGTGCTCATGGGTTGGAAGATTAATATCGTGAAAATGTCCGTATTACCCAAAGCAAACTACAGATTAATGCAATCCCTATCAAAATACCAATGGCATTTTTCACAGAACCAGAACAATCAATCCTAAAATTTGTATGGAATCACAAAAGACCCCAAATAGCCAAAGAAATCTTGAGAAAGGAGAACAAAACTGGAAGCATCATAATCCCAGATTTCAAAGATATACTACAAAGCTGTAGTAATTAAAACATTTGGTACTGGCACAAAAATAGACACACAGATGAATGGAATACAGAGCCCAGAAATAAACCCTCACTTGGTCAATTAATCTATGACAAAAGAGTCATAATACACAACAAGGAAAAGACAGTGTCTTCAAGAAATGATGCTGGGAAAACTGGACAGCAACATGCAGAAGAATGAAACTGGGCCATTTTCTCAAACCAAACACAAAAATAAAATAAAGACTAAGTGTGAAACCTGAAACCATAAAAATTCTAGAGGAAAATATAGGTAGTCATCTCTTACACATTGGCCTTAGCAACATATTTAATATGTCTCCTGAGGCAAAGGAAACAAAAAAATAAACTACTGGGACTACACCAAAATAGTAAGATTTTGCACAGAAAAAAAAAAAAACGACAAAAACTCAATCGAACAAAGTAACTTACTGAATGGAAGAAGAAATTTTCAAATGATACATCTAATAAAAGTTTAATATCCAAACTATATAAAGAACTTCTACAACTGCGCGCGCGCACGCACGCACATACACACAACACCTGAACAATCTCATTAAGAAATAGACAGATGGGGGTCCCTGGGTGGCTCAGTCATTAAGTGTCTGCCTTTGGCTCAGGTCATGATTCCAGGGTCCTGGGATGGAGCCTCACCTCGGGCTCCCTGCTCGGTGGGGAGCCTGCTTCTCTCTCTCCCACTCGCCCTGCTTGTGTTCCTGCTCTCTCTCTGTGTCATATAAATAAATAAAATCTTTAAAAAAAATAGATGACTTAATGTTTTTCCAAAGACCACCTACAGATGGCCAATACACATATGAAAAAATGCTCAGCATTACTAATCAGTAGGGAAATGCAAAACAAAAACCACAATGAGATTATCATCTTACACCTGTCAGAATGGCTAGATCAAAAAAACAAGAAGTGTGCCAATGTGGAGAAAAAGGAACCCTTGTGCACCATTGGTGGGTATGTAAATTGGTGCAGGCACTGTGGGAAATAGTAAGGAGGTTCCTCAAAAAATTAAAAATAGAAATACCATATGATCCAGTAATTCCACTGCTGGGTATTTACCCAAGAAAACAGAGCACTAATTAAAAAAGATATATGCATCCGATGTTTACTGCAGCATTATTTACAGTAGCCAAACTATATAAACAATCCAGGCGTCCATATATATGTGAATGGATAAAGGAGATGTGATTACACACACACACACACAGGACTATTACTCAGGCATAAAAAAAAGAATGAAATCTCAGCATTTGTGACTGACAACATGGATGGACCTAGAGGGTATTATGCTAAATGAAGTAAGTCAGAGAAAGATAAATACCATATGATTTCACTTCTATGTGGAATCTAAGAAATACATGAACAAACAGACTTCTTTAATACAGAGAAGAAACTGGTGGTTGCCAGAAGGAAGGTGGAGGGTAGGGAGATCAGCAAAATAGGTGAAGGGGATTTAGAGGTACAAGCTTCCAGTAATAAGTCAGGGAAATAAAAAGTATAGCATGTGAGATACAGTGAATAATATTGTGATAACACATGGTGATGGGTGGTGACCACCCTTATCGTGGTGAGCACTGAGTAATGTGCAGAATTGTTGAATCGCTATGTTGTACGTATGTAATGTAGCATTATCAACTACACTTTAATAATAAAATAAGAATAGGAGAAAAAGTATCAGGGCAATAATGACCACCAATGTGAGGTCAGCTTGCTTCTGACAGTTCTTATAAATACGTACACTGATTTTCTCAGCTTTATGCGTTATTATTCTCTTTGTGTAAGTCAAAGGTTTCAAAGAGCAGTCACCTCTGGATATATTAACAAAAGACAATCCCAGAACCAACAAAATTCAGACCTCAACGAGTCCAGAAGTCCCTGAAGAACAGGTGGACTAGGAAGAAAGAGATACTACAAGTCCCACATACAGAGATTTATATAAAGTATATCATGAAAAGGGATCTGATAGTATTGTAAAAGGTGAGGTAACCCAACCCTTGTAAATTGAAGTATAAGCACTCAGGGCACTTAGTCATTTCCAATGATGGCATCAGTATCTGCATTAGGACCAATGCGGAGGGGAAGGATCGGGTGTCCAGTCCACACGTTTCAAATTAAGTTAATGATACAAGCATGACTATCTCTACTACAAAATCGCTCTGCACACACTCAGGATTGATTGTTCGCATGATGAATTAGGCAGGTTCTTGCTTCTCCTCCTCATCCTTGGCTACCTTCCACCACGGTCAATGAAGATAATCAAACACTGTCAACTGCCAAGTTGGAAAGTTGAAACTAATGTCTAAAAGTGGTTTGAGGACAAGGATGGATTTCAGTTACCTCACCATCCTGCTTTCCATACTGAACTGTCAAAACTTACTGGTAATAATTTGATCCAATTCTGATGTCACCAAGGAGTATTAATCACTCCTATCAAAAGTATTAAGACTCATCTTTGCACAAAGCATTATTTAGCCTAGAACCAGAAATAGTGTATAGGGTCAGAATAGAACCAATTTGAGGACAGGTACAGGAAAGCCATCAGATAGTCTTAACCAAGAATACAGTAGGAGACATCAGACGAGCATCTCAGAGCGGACTTCTGAATAAACACTTCCTGCTCCTTGTGCTGATGCAATTTTTATATGACACAGTCAAGAGGTGAAAAATAAATTTATCTCAGGCATGACCTCTCTTTGTAAAACAAAAAGATGTACCATTTTAATTCTTCCTCAATTTTTCAAATTTTGATTCATCATTAAAATATTCCAATGATACTATTTAAATTATATGATATATATCATTACATATAAATTATGTTTTATACATATAAAAATAAATATAATAGTATTGAAATATTTTAATTATATAATGTATATTATATGTATATGTTCAAGTATAAATTATAATATGTAAGTATACATAATATATATATTCCAGTATATATATACATATGTTCAAGTAGCACTGGAGGGGACATATACCTTTTATAACCCCAAATATTAATGTTTTATGAAGACAAAAAGGACTCTGAAAATTATTGCCTAAATATATGTTAGGACCTTTATTTTGGCACCTATGGAAGAGAGTTAATGCACAAGGAATAAGAGAAAACTTAAACTTTATACCTCTTTGTAGTTAACTCTCCCATCCTGAAGGTGGAGAAACTCCAGAGCTCTGTGTCCTGAGAGAAATAAATAAATCAATTTAAATTCAACTATACCTGAAACAGAACTTATTCAAGATGTTTTAAAAGGAAAATTGGGGCATATGGGTGACGCAGTCAGTTGGGTGTTAAACTCTTGGTTTCATCTCAGGTTGTGATCTCAGGGTCCTGGGATCGAGCCCCGAGTCAGGCTCCATGCTCAGCATGGAGTCTGCTTAAAACTCTCTCTCCCTCCCCCTCCCCCATCCCTCCCCATGCTCATGCGTGCAGGGCACACTCACTCTCTGTAACAAATAATCTTTAAAAAACTAAAAAAAAAAAAAAAAGGAAAATGTAATTTTGTCATTACAACGGTCAAGGAAGGGGGAAATGAAAATTTAAGTGTGTACTCACTAGTCATTTTCATTAGGCATAGTAAGATTCATACGATAGTTACATCACTAAAAAATACAAATCAAATTTGCATGGTGATTTGAAGTTTCTGCTTAGCATGGCCCTGCTAAGCTAGGTCTCAGTTCCCTCCTAAGTAAAAGTAAGTAATTCCCACATTTACAGGTGTGTTGAGAGAGTCACACAAAATACATGTATATGATGAGCACAGTGGCTGATACATGGTAGGAGCTCAGTAAACCGAAGTGTCATCTTATTTTGCCTCAACACCCACCCCCGCCCCCCCCGCCGAGATAAATGACCCTAAGCAGAAAATAGGATACACGGCCAAAACCACGGACTGAATCAATTACTCTCGAATGTTTTTTCATCAGTTGGGCCACATTAGATGGACCAAAAAAAAAAAAAAATCAATCCCAGGTTACCTGCTCCACTCACTTGCGGACACACACACACACACACACACACACACACATCCAAACCCTGAATCTTCCTAGAATCTAAGACGAACATGCCTTGTAAAGTCACATTCAAAGGGGATACCTTACTTCTGTTGTGAATAACATCCAGTTTTGTAATTCATACAAAAATACAGCCACTCCTCTAAGCATAACACTGTAAGATACAGGCTCCCAGCCCACGTCAGTAACCTGGACATCGGATTGCCAGGATTTACAGCTCCAAACCACCAAACGAGGCCCGTTTTAATTAACTCACAGACTGTCAGCCTTCCAACAGGCTTTACATTAAGTGAAAACATGAACCAAGAGATTTACAGAATCCTCTAAATAATTGGTAAATGTTGGAGTTTTTTCTTTCACATGAGACTCCTCAAAATCTGTGCAGGTTAGGAGTGGTCTTCAATTATGTTCACATAAACAAAGTTTTATATTAATATATTTAATATCTTAATATATTAACATTTATATATTTATATACTTATGATATATAGCTATAGATAATACAATATATGTATATACTTAATTTTATATTTCTATTTAATATTTCTATTTAGTATTTTATATAATGTATTGATATATTTAATGTTATATTAATAGATTAATATATACAAAACATATATTCAGTATAATCTATTAGGATCTTTGGTACCTACTGAAAGAAGGCAAGCAGTTATCCGATTTTATTAAAACTTCATATTGCATCTGTGTTTAAACTAAGGATTAAAAACTCTCCATTTATACTTATTCTTTTTTTTTTAAAAAATTTAATTATTTATTTGAGAGAGAGAGAATGAGAGACAGAGAGCATGAGAGGGAGAGGGTCAGAGGGAGAAGCAGGCTCCCCACTGAGCAGGGAGCCCGATGTGGGACTCGATCCCGGGACTCCAGGATCATGACCTGAGCCGAAGGCAGTCGCTTAACCAACTGAGCCACCCAGGCGCCCCATTTATACTTATTCTTGAATATTTCCATTTACACTTTGTTCTTTCTCAGCCTACAGTTCTAGCAATTTCAATTTCAAAGAACTTACACCTGGACAATACTTTCAAATTCACCGAGACGTTCGGCTTCCTTACTTTACAGAAGAGGAACGCAGAGAAAATGAATTGCTCTGACTCACATACTTAGTTTATAGCAGAGCTGGTATTAGAACCTGGGTCTAATTTTCTCTTCTATTGTTTCCTGACTGCTTGTAGCAATAAATGTATTTGGAAAGAACACTGGACTGGCTCTCAGGACGTGCAATCCTAGGCCAGCCCTCTAATGAGCTAGCTGTGAGATTCTCCAGATCGATTTCCTTGTATGTGAAATACAGGGACTGAGCTCAGTGACCTCTAGTGCCCTTTCAGAAGGCAAAATTCTGGGATCATAGGTTCTTGTCCACCAGAACTCAATAAATACCTCAGTCCATCTGGCACTGATAAGCTTACACACTTTATTTGTAATCTTGTTATCATTGGTACCTTCTGGCCAGGTGGCCTGACTATAAAATATTCTTGTTTTTATCTAAAAGAAAACCCAGATTTAATCTGAAAACTGTTGTAGAATATAATCCTATTCCATGGGTTAAAAAAAATATTACAAATACACTTCATTCAAGAACCGAATCCACCATGCACCCCTGTGTCTGGCACTCTGCCTTCACCCCCGAGCCCGTCCTCCCCAGCTCTTGTCATCGTCCCCTCTAACGCCAGTAGCCAGACGCCCTCGCTTCCTTGCCCTGGCTGGGGCCAACCACTTGACTCAGGGGACCCACTCCCGTGGCGACAGGTGGCCCGGTACACATACTTGGAAATCTAAAACAACAAAAACAACATTCCTCACTCCTACTGAGTTCCACCCACCTTCCTCCTCCACCATTCTATCAGTTCTGCTTCATGGCAACCGCGAGTTTCTCTGAGTTTCTCCAGCTCCTCACTGTTTGCCCACCCAGAGAAACAGCCAGGGGCCGATCATCAAGCACGCATGGCTCCCTTGCCTCCTGCCCACCCTCCACGGAACCCACCCGACTCCAGTCCGGGGAACTTGTTATCAATATGTGGGACCGACTTCACATCTCTTCCTTAACACCCTGTGACAGACTTAGCATCCCTAATCCCAGGCAAGGTGCAGGCACTTACCTATCTCGATGTGTGTGGAGATGCCACATGGCGAACCCCCCGGGCAGAGGGAGCCCAGTGTGATCAGCAGCCCAGGCCAGAACCTGCAAAGGGACATCCCCTCGTTACTTGCTGCTCCTCAGTGACACGACGTGCTCAGAACTGCGGTGGCAGGGCCTGAAACCCAGGCCCAGACCCACGGCTTTCCCTCTAAGCAGGTCACTGACCGGGCAACCAAGCCTCATTTCAAAATAATAACACTTCCCAGTCAACTGTTTAACTACTGTTTAACTTCACCAGAACAGCAAACAAACTCCATCTGGGAGAGGAGAAAAAAAAAAAAGCCATCAACTGAAATGTGAATGCTCTTAGTGGGGAGCATGGCCACTTTGTGACCCAGGTGTCCTCCAGATTTCTTGTTAAAACAAAATTTGTATGGTCACCTTAGCAAAGTTGTCTCCAGATGTTTTTTGCTTTCTTCAAAAAAGAGAGAGACTCACCTGTCTAGACTGAGGGTCCACATGCTGGACCACCTCGGCTCACAAGGGCTGATCCCTCAGGCGTCCTTTGCACACCTGTATCAGGGGCCCCCGAGTCCTCAGCCTCCAAAGCCCAAAGTGCTGGGAGAGCTTTTGTGATAATCAGCTGGAGCTGGCTTCTCTTTCAGTATTTGGCAACAGATACTGACACTTGCATGGGATTACACAAGAGCAAGCACTCCTGGTCTCCCTGCTTCCGGCTGTTCTTATGGGGCTTATCTCAAGCCGGTTGCACGGTCAGATTCCTGCACCCCAAGCGAAGACGCTGATTCCACTGGGGGCAGGAGACATGGGACAGATTTAAGACCAAGAAACAAGGATTCAGAAAATGCTAGGCTCAGAATATACCTGTCAGGAAGTATCTGGTCTGTAGCACTTAATCCATGGGAAAAACTCGGTGAAGCTCTTCGTGGAAAAGGTGGTAATCTTACAGCTCAAATTATGCATGTTATAAGTGAAAAGCAAAGGGGATCCTGAAAGAGTGGGAGGAAACTGTACTCATGCTCAGGTGAGCAAATGGAAGAGAAGAATAGAAGATGGGATGATTGAGACCCTTAGGTCTCTGCCAAGTTTCTTCTGTAAGCTTAGCTTAGCCACCTGCAAGCCCCAAAGGAAGAAGCCCACAGCTCTCCCCGAATCCTGAGGGCACTGGGCCCCGCTGCTCCTGACTGCTTCTAGGCCAGAGGCCATGAACTTTGGCTAAGGTGCTTTATATACATGGACCTAATCTCCCCCTTACTGCAAGTGGGGGAGCTGATGGAGAAGGGTGGGAGTGCCCAGGACAAGGCCGGATGAAGAAGAAAGGTTCCAGACTGAGCCATCACCCCCAGCCAGGCTCTGGGAGGCATCGGGCAGCCTAGGAGCAAGACAGGAACCGGAGGGGGAGGGGAATTGTTCCTACTCTGAAAGGGGGCTTGCAGAGGGCACCAGATAGAGAGAAGGGGCAGCCAGCATCAGGACTTTCCTGGACCTTAGGCACTTTTGCCTTTGTAGGCCTCTTCCTTCCTAAAAATAAATAAAAAAAAAAAACAATTTTACATCTCTGTTGACCTATTAATCTATTTATATTCAACCTAAAAGTTTTTTTTTCCGATTTTTAAAAGAAATTACACAGTTTTGTGTGCCACTAAAAGTACTATGGACCCTAGGCAGAGTGCCTACTGGAGAAGTCAGCTGGAAAAGGAAGTGAATACTGTTTGAAACAGAACCTTAAGAAGACAAGCGGACTGATACTGGATCAAGAGAGGCTACCACGGTTGCGCCAACAGTAGGGCTCCCTCTGCAGGCAGCAGGTAGAAAGACGCCAGGTCCCCCGACGCCAGGGATACCCACCGGGCAGCAGTCTCCCCTCCAGGACCTCCTCTCTTCCCCCAATTCCTCCAGTAGAATACAGACAGAAACAGCGAATACACACACAAAGACTAAATTCTGCTGTTCCCACTTCTGCTAGATGTGACTCACTCAGGACTGAGTGAGGCCGACTCATTAAAAAAAAACAAAGCCAAAATTTAAAGGTACTGCCTCCGCATTTTGCAAATAAGAACCCAACGTCCCAGAGAAAGTGGAAAAGCCCACAGGCTCCAGAAAAGACAGCAAGAGACTCAACGCAGTAGAAATGGAGAAGCAGAGATGTGCTGAGACTAGTGCTCCTAAATCAATGCATAGAAATGGGCTTCACTCGAACCCACAGATTCCGAAGATGGCCCTGCTAAATTTATCTTTGTATCCTCGTTAAAGCTGAGGCTTCCTTCCTGCTTCCAGATTCTAAGGCTCATGTCTACTTGTAATGATGCCTCGCTTGATTCAATTCTGACACATGGTCCCACTGACCAGTTGGAGGCCTAACTCATCCTAACTAGTGGCTTGTCCTAGGGCAGCTACTAGGACTTTGAACGTTGTGCTGAATTTAATGTAGCAACTCTGCTAAGCCGTTAATTATGTTATCTCACTACAAACGAGAGAACTTTCTACAAAAAAAGAACTGAGCATAATTTGTTGAAGGTCACACACAGCTTGTCGACAGATTCTGAGTTTGGGGCCAAATCGGTCTCTCTCTGGAAGCACTGTGACACATCGGGGGACCCCCTGCTCCCAATGAATGGATGAATAGGTAAACACACACCCAGAAAACCATCCAGGCGGCAGGGAGCCACACTTGCCCCGCGCAGAGAACCCTCAGCCTAGATCCTGAGTGCGCGGGAGCTGAGGCGATGGAGAGCGGGGATCATGCCCTTGGCGGTTGGGGCACCACCAGCGCATCTTTGGACCCAGGACAATTCCAATGGCGGGGGATGCAGGTGGGGGGAGGGGATGGATCGCGGAGGGGGCGGTTGTCCTGCAGCAGCTAGGGAGCTAAGGAATAATCACACAGGAGCACTCGAGGCTGGTAAGGGGAGGCCCGCAGGTGCATCTCCCGGCAGCCCTCCCAGGTCTGGCGGAGAGCGAAGCCGCACGCCGCGGAGGACCAGGTGCGGCGCCAAGGACGCGGGAGAGGGCGCTGCTCCGCGTCCCCGAGGCCCCGGCGCGTCCCCGCCGCCGCCGCCCCGACCCTTGCACTCGGGCGCGCGCTCGCTTGCCTGCTTCCTGCCGCCGCCTCCCCGGCCATGGCGACCTGTCTGCGGCTGCGGAGCTGCCCGGTCCCACGCCTCCCGCCGGCGCCCGCCGCCCGCGGCCTGCGGCCCCGGGGCTCGGCGCAGCCCCGCCGCTCTGCCGGGGGCCTGGCGGGCCTGTCCGCGGCGCTGCTTCGCACCGACCGCTTCGTGGACGGTCGCTGGCTCCCGGCCGCCGCCGCCTTCCCCGTGCACGACCCGGCCAGCGGCGCCGAGCTGGGCTTGGTGGCCGACTGCGGGGTGCCCGAGACCCGCGCCGCGGTGCGCGCCGCCTACGAGGCCTTCTGCAGCTGGAGGGACGTCTCGGCCAAGGTGAGCGCGCTCGGGGGCCCCGGGTTGCCCCATAGAGAAACCAGCCGCGTCGCCTCCCCCTCCCCGATTCACCGGGATTCACCAGGCAGAAAGTCATAGAAACAAGGACAGAGGTGATCCACAAGTAAGTTTGGAGCGTCGGCTTGGTCCCAAGCACTGTGCCAGGGGCTAGGGACAGGCGCCGCCCTCCAGCCTCTGAAATTGTCCTGTAGGGGAGGCGGAAGCCTTAGGTGTAACATGAAATTACCAGCGAGCCGAGGGCATAGTGAGCAGGTAGAGGGGCCTGAGCACGGGGGGCAGGCGCGCGCACAGGGGGCTCTCCCTGGCCGCTACAGTTCAACACAGGAAGGCTAGTCGGGAAATCGGGCTCTCTGCAGGCAGCCAGACCATTTTCCAGGTTTCGGCCTGAATAGAAACACTGCTGTTAACTAACATGTCCTTGGCTTGTAGATGGCCGTCTGCGCACGACCTTCCCTCTGCATTTTCCGGTGTCCTAACCTCTCCTCGTAAAGACACCAGTCATACTGGATTAAGACCCGCATCTATGACCACATTTAACCTTAATAACCTCTTTCACGACCCTGTTCGGAGATACAGGGGATTAGGACTTCAACCTATGAATGGAGGGGGCGTGGGGCACAATTCTGCCCACACATCAGGGTAGCCTCACTGAGGACCGGGGCTGCAAAGATTAAAGGAGGGACGGGAACTCGGCTGGAGCAGAATTCTTGAGTCAGGAGCATGCCTGACCCGTTTGTAAAACAGCCAGGAGGCCGGGGCAGCTCTGAAGGCCGTAGTAACAGGGGAGGGAGGGGCTGGATCCAGTGGGGTGTGCAGCCATCCTAAGGACTGGGGTTTTACCTTGAGGGAGGCGGGGCACCACTCCAGGGCTTCGAGCAGAGCTGTGACCAGGTTTGCGGCGGGAAAGGGGACTCTGGCCCCAGTGTGGAGAACAGGCGGAAGGAGGGACACGGTGGGGGCAGAGGCCTGTTAGGGGCTGTTGGTGGAGGCTGAGGCGAGAGGGGACGGCGGCTTGAACCAGGGCGCTCTGCAGGATCTGTTGTGACCAGAGCCTCAGCTGGAGGCCCTGGTGATGTTGGGGCGCGAGCGGAAGAGGGGTCAGCCAGGACCCCAGGCTTCCAGCCAGAGCACCGGGAAGGAAGGAGTAACCACTAACTAGCACCAGCTGAGACACAGTAGGGGCGCAGAGACTGGGTGTTACAGGCTTCCGGGAAGCTCTTCTCGCCCAGTCTCAGCTTCGAGACTGGTTGTTCAGAGCCCCAGGGCTGGTGCCGGGACCGCTCACGGCCGCCGTCAGCTTGTGGTCACGTCACCCACCTGACATCCATGCCCCTGGAGTGTGAACGTGGCGGTGTCCGCTTGTCCTGCAGGAGCTTGAGTCTTCTCAGAGAACCTTCCTTCTTGGAAGGCTTGTGGAGCGTCTTGCTGAGGAAGTGGGGCTCGGCTGTCCCAAGGAAGGCAGGTCTGCCTCTGCAGGGAGGAGGGGGGGGCTGTGACGCAGCTCCTGTATAAGGCAGCCCTGACCCACCCCTCTTGCCCCCAGGCCTGTCTGTCTGCCCTGCCCACCCCCATCCTCGAGGTCTGGCTCACCTGATGCTTCTGCCATTGGGCTCCGCTGTCCTCCCCTCTCTGAACGGTGGCATGGGTCCGTGCGCCTTGGCTTGCCCTTCCGGGTGACATTGTTTGCATTGCCTCACGCCTTTTCACGTGTTCTAGGACCTCCTGTTTCCCACCTTGCGAACTCCTGCAGGATCTCAGGGGAAAGGGGAGCCAGAGCCTTACGGCTCTGTGAGCTAACGCATTAGTCACCTATGGCGGCTGTAACAAATCAAGGCAAATCAATAACACGACAACCCAAATTTCTTCTCTCACTGTTCTGGCGGTCAGAAGTCCCAAGTGTGCTGGCAGGGCTGTGTTCCTTCAGGAACCGCGTGGGGCTTCCTTCCCAGCGTCTAGAGGTGACCCCTTCTGGTACCACACCACCTTGTGGGCCTCGGCCCCTCCTGCTTCCCTCTTAAGTGAGCCTTGTGGTTCCATTGGGGGCCCACCTGGATGCCCTCCTCGCCTCGGGATCCTTTACGCGATCACATCTGCAAAATCCCTTCGCCGTGAGAGGGAACAGACTCGCAGGTTCCAGGGGTTAGGACGAGGCCATCTCTGAGGGCTGTTAGGGTGCCGCCACAGCTGAGTACTGTTCTTGGCGCGTTCCAGGTGCTTTATCTAGTGCTTTCAGTGGCTCTCTGAAGTAGAGACTTGATCCAGGGTACGGATGAGGAGCGTGGCTTAGATGGGCTCCGAGGCCGCCCCCCCCACCACGCATCCCTGCTCGGGTGGGACGCGAGCCTCCCTGTTGGAGACCGGCACTCTCTCACAGCTCCTCACAAAGATCGCAGTGGTGTCCAGGGGCTGCCATCACGAACTACCACAAACCTGATGGTTTAAACAACAGAAACCTACTGCCCCGGCTCTGCAGGCTCGAAATCCCAAGTCAAGGGCTGCTTCCTTCCGAGGGCTCTGAGGGACGGATCTGCCCCAGACCTCTGTCCTTGACTTGTAGGTGGTATCTCCCCTGTGCCGCACCATATCATCTTCCCTCTGTGCGTTCCTGTTTGTGTCCAAAGTCCCCCTTTTTACAAGGAGCCTCCTTTTATATGTTGGAGTAGGGCACACCCCAATTTTAGATTAACAAAACTTTTAAAAAGTTTTAACTTTGAATTTATTAAAAATTGAACGTCACTGTAACTTGCTTGCCTCGGTCACATCTGTAAAGACCCTGTCACTGTCTGAGGTACTGAGGGCTGGAACGGCAGCACGTCTGTTTGGGGCACACACCATTAACCCACGACACGGGCTGTGCATCCTGAGGGTGGCCCGTTGCCTCCCCTGGCTTCCAGGGTTCGGCCTGGGCGTGTGTTTTCCGCCGGCAAGCCGAATCTACTTTGCATTCCTGCAGTTCTCACACCGTTCTGGGTCTCTCATCGTCTCTCAGGCGAAGCATGGACTCTGTCGAGCAGGCCCTGGGCTCAGATCTTGGATTTCTTTCTCCAGGCCAGGCCCCCTAGAGCGTAGTCTTTTGTCTCTCCCCGAGAATAAGCACTGGCCTGGAACCATCAGATTCCTCCCTGCTCGTGCACAGGGCGAGCGCGGAACCAGAGCTGTGTGTGGTGAAGTTACTCGTCTTTGTGCTGTTCAACCCAAGTCTTTTTCTCTTTTACAACTTATGACTCAATACAACCCTTAGATGCAGCTTGAAATGGAATCTTCCTTATTGCTTATCAAAGAAAGGTCTGCACACCTGAAACTAACATTGTGTTATATATACGTCACTTATGCATCGTTTTAAAAAAGAAGACAGGTCAGTGTGTGTTTCCCCGAGCGTGAGACCACACAGCAACCGTTTGAGGACATGGAAGGTTATTTTGTATTTCTATTGCTCTTTTTCTTTCCTTCCCAGGAGAGGAGTTCATTACTTCGGAAATGGTACGACTTAATGATACAAAATAAGGATGACCTTGCCAAGATAATTACAGCTGAAAGTGTAAGTTCAGGGCCCTAACTTGCTCCCCTAAGAAGCTGTCCCACAGTGCTCAGGCTCAAGCCCGGGCAAGCCTGCAGCTAAAGAAAATGGGAATTCCTTGCCTAATGATCAGCTATCCACTAATTATTGTGCCAGGCCTCACATTTGCCAGAACAGTTTGTATGTTCTACCCCTGAATAATATACGAGAAACACAGATGGAGCTGGAGCCCGTTATACTAAGTGAAATAACTCATTCTGAGGAAGACAGATACCGTATGATTTCACTCATACGTGGGATTTAAGAAACAGGAAAAAAAAGACAAAGAGACAGACTCTTACATACAGAGAACAGCCTGCTGGTTGCCAGAGGGGAGGTGGGCGGGGAGTGGGGGACAGTAATAATAATCCTGGAGAAATAGATTTTGAGTGGAATTATGTGAATAATGCTTTGCTACCATTCCAGATTTTTTCTCTCTGATTGGTGTGGTTGGCTTTCTTCACACTGTGTATGTTTAGTTTTTTTTTTTTAAAGATTTTATTTATTTATTTATTTGAGAGAGAGCATGGGGGGAGAGAGCACAAGCAGGGGGGAGGGTCAGAGGGAGAAGCAGACTCCCCGCTTGAGCGGGGAGCCCGATGTGGGACTCGCTCCTGGGACCCCAGGATCATGACCTGAGCTGAAGGCAGTCGCTTAACCAACTGAGCCACCCAGGCGCCCCACACTGTGTATGTTTAAAAACGTGCCAGAAGTTTCTCCATAGCTGTAATCATGGCTTCACAGCAGGGTCCCAACACCGAGAAGGTGTCCGAGGAGAAACAAGCGCGAAGTCGCCCTTCTTGCTGCCGGGGGTGCAGACGGATTGTGGCCTGGCTTCCCGTCTCCCCCTTTCTCGTTCTGCCTTCTCGGACGCCCGCCGGGGTCGCGCATTTCCCATCGGCCCTGGGGGTTTGGTAACGGGAGAGTGCTCTGCGGGCCGCCTGGCAGAGTCATGCCTTTGTCGTGAGACGCAGCGAATGTGTCCTTTTCTGATCCAGGGGAAGCCACTGAAGGAGGCACAGGGGGAGGTGGTCTATGCCGCCCTTTTCCTGGAGTGGTTCTCAGAGGAAGCCCGCCGCATCTATGGAGACGTCATCCGCACCCCCGCAAGAGACAGGCGGGCCCTGGTCCTCAAGCAGCCCGTTGGGGTGGCGGCAGTCATCACCCCGGTACGAGGTCCGGCAGGACGGGGACGGGCTGGACGGGCGGGGTCCCGGGGTAGGAGATGGGGCGGGACTCGGACGACACCGCCTTCTTCCTTGTGAGGAGGTGTGCTCCCCCCCCCACCCGGCTCCGTCCGCCCCCTGTCCCGCGGAGGGTTGTGTGCTGGTCCTCGTGACACCCAGGTGCGGGGTGGTGAGTGGGAATGCGTGTGGGGTAACTCCTGCAGAGGCGGACAGCCCACAGCAGGACCTGGGGCTTTTCTGACGGGGCATAAAGGCTTCTTCTAGGCCGGGCCTAGCACATCGGAAAAGATCTTTTTTTTTTTTTTTTTTTTAAGACTTAAGCTATGACACATTTAATGTGCCATGGCGTGGGGAAAATTTTATGCTCAGTTTACGATTATCATCCACAGCCAAGTATTAGTGTGCCGACCAGTGGGCACTGGGCCGGGTTCTGCAGGTGAAAAGGTTTCCAGAGTATTGCGTCTGCCTGGGTGGGGATGCGGCCCCCTGGGGGCCGTCCCACGCTCTCCTGGTGACCTGCCTTGTGTGGCTGCCGTCCACGACGTCCCCCATCAACTCCTCTAGGGTGGCCGCTGGTGTCAAGACTGCTGATGTGTCCTGGCCCAGCAGATGTACACAGACACCCCCTTAGCCTAGCCTGACCGGGTGTGCCTCAGAGCTCACTGTTCCCCAGCTGCGTCAGCTTGGGCGAGGTACTTAGCTGCTCTCAGTTTCCCCAGAGTAATGTCCTCATTATTACCCGGTGTATAATACCGCAGCGGGCTGGGACGAGGATTCCATTAATTATCATTTAGAAGTGCTTCCTAGCACAGAATGAGCACTAGACAAGGATTTGTCAAAATAAAAAAAAAATGCTGTTAATATAGATATGGAGATAGCTACAAATATCTATCCATAAATAGAGAAGGAGGTCATAAATCATCTGCCATTTTCTAAATTACCTTGGCTAATATTTTCTCCCAAAGGGTCAGCGAAACTACGGCTTTCAGGCCTAATCCAGCCTGCTGCCTATATTTGTAAATAAAGTTTTATTGGGACCCAGCCATGGCCATTCCTGTACATACTGGCTGTACCTGCCTCCACATTAGAACCACGGAGTCGTTGGGGCAGAAACTGTACATCCCACAGAGCTTAAATATTTACCATCTGGCCCTTTACAGAAAAAGTTTGCCAACTCCCAGTGTGGATAATCTTGTACTGTTTCAGATTCTGGAAAGGTTTCCTGTCTTTACGAGCCTATGCCTCCAGAGTCGCTGAGTTGAGAGGTGTCAGGTGTTCCGAGGGCTCACCTGAGCAAGAGCCAGAGAACCGCTTTGAGAGTCCGTGTGTGCAATGGAATTGTTGACTGACTTCCTGACCTGCCTTGTTTTGAACTATGGGGCAGTCCATCCTGTCTCATACTTTCTCTGCTCTTCTGACCCCAGTGGAATTTCCCCAGTGCCATGATCACCCGGAAGGTAGGGGCCGCCCTGGCAGCCGGCTGCACCGTGGTGGTGAAACCCGCCGAACACACACCCTTCTCTGCCCTGGCCCTGGCCGAGGTGAGCCTCTCCCCCATGTTTGTGCATAGCTGACAAAGTCCAAGCGGGGATTATTTATCTAGGGCAGAAAGAAGCTGATTCGAAGCCTCCTTCTTTGGCTGCATCTCATGCTGGATGTGTTGTGTTTTAATTTCCTAGCAATTATTCTATTTTAAGTCAGATATTTTATTTTTTTAAGTAGGCTCCACTCCCAGCGTGGAGCCCAACGCGGGGTTTGAACTCACGACCGTGAGATCAAGAGCGGATGTTCAACCGACTGAGCCCCCCAGGTGCCCCTAAGTCAGATGTTTTAGAAAAAAAACAATGGATGGGGGACTTCCTGACATCTGTAGACAATGTATATTTTAGGCTGCCCTAAAAATAGTACCTGTCCGTCACTTTTATTAAGTAGGCAGACAGACGACAAAATGTGAGCATTTCTCACATTTTAGGGAACCTCTTCTTTACCTCTCCTTTCTCCAGTTCAGTCAACATTCAGTCAGGTCTCGCCATTCTCCTGTTTAAAACCCTCCGATGGCTTCTCATGTCCCTCAGAGTGAAGCCCAGACTTCCTACAGTGGTCTCCAAGGCCCTATGAGATGCCACCCCCAAGCCCCAATCTCCCCTCTGCCCTTACCTTACCTGTCACTCCAAAACGCTGCACCCCTCAGCTCCGGCCACTCTGGCCCCTTCTGCTCCTCAGACCACACCAGGCTCACCCCGACGCAGCTCTATACCTGCCTTTTCCTCTTCCGGAAAGTTCCTCCCCAGATGCCACCTTTCCAGGGAGGCCCTGCTGGCCCCCCGTTGGAAAATCACAGCCTTGGACTCCCGTGCTCCTGATCCTTTCTCTGCTTTGTACTTCTTCCCGTAGCTCCGTGCCACCTGACATGCTGGCTGTCTCACGGACGCGAGCACGTCAGCTCCGCGGAGACGGGGACTCGCCTCTGTTTTGTTCACTGCCGACTGCAGAACCTTCTATGGTGCCTGGGCCCAGGAGGCCCTCAGGAAATGTTCGCGGCAGGGAGGGATTCTGAGCCGCGAGAGCCACGCTGAGTGTGGGGGTCCGTTTCTGGCCTCGTCACCGCATCCTTCCTGGGCCGCGAGTCCTCCTCCTTTGGGTCCCTGTGTCGCTGTCTTTGGCCCTGTGGTCGGCTGGAGAAGCTTCTAGAAGGCAGCGGCAGTTGCCACGTTTGCTGTTCAGGGCTCTCAGGGACCGGGTGCAGCTCCAGACCTTCAGGGCACTTCCCCCAACGGCATCTTATTTCAGAGGCAAATTGGATATTTTAGTCCTATGGAAACGTTAACCAAATGGAAGTCTTCTTTTAGATGAGCTGTTACGGTTTTCCTTGAAATGATTCTTAAATCTGCACGACGTGTGTAAGTGAACTTACTACTAGACTCCTCAGGCGTGCACAGAGTTAGCAGTGTGCTTTTGCAAGTGACAGTATTCAGAGCCCGCACCGATCTATGACCAGCAGACCCCTCCTGCTTAAGAAATTTATTTGGAAACACATCTGTGTTGATCGGAAAGGCTCAGGACCACGCTTTTTTAAAAAACCTCTATAAACCTCATCCAGACTTCGTCAGACAGCGGTTCGGTCTCCTCGTGTCCTTTTATCGGGAGACGCATATAGCCAGTTGTCTCTTGTCATGATGTTGGCAGGGCTGCTGGTCAGTGCTGCTCATTTCTTTTCTTTTCTTTTTTAAGGATTTTATTTTTAAGGAATCTCTATACCAAACATGGGGCTGCCTGCTTTTCATTTCTGAACTTAGTTTTTCCTTGCATTTCTAATTCTTCCCTGTGTTCCCTTACCTCATTTCCAGAATTTCTTTAATTCTGATTAATGTTGTTCTTTTGTATCTTGATACTTTTTTTTCCCTTCATTGTCAGTTACCGCTTTGATCTGTTTTGTGGGCATGTCTTCTGGAATGCTTTTGCTGTCCACGAGGATGCTTTCTGCTCTTTAGTCTCTTATTTTCTTCTAATAATGTTGGATTTGATTTGGGTATTTTTCTGAGCATTTACTTCATTTTTATACGAAGGTAGTTTTCCTAAGCTTTTAGCAGGAGGCCTGATTCTCTAACTTCACAGGTGTCTTTTGTTTTCCCGCCCTGAGATTTCCGGGCTCCATTCCCTTCCCCACCTGACCCCGGCCTGCTGCGCCTCCTTTATCACCTGCTCTTGCACTGGGCAGTCCCAGTGCTGTCCCGGGAGCACCGGTGGGCTGTTCTCCAGCTGCATCCATCAGACAGCTTCCTTCTGCGGCTCCTCCTGCCGGTGCTGACGCTCCCAGCTGTCCCTGGCGTGTCCGCACCCACGGGTCAGGCGAAAAAGCAGATTGCCAAACCCTCTGTGTTGCGAAATTTCCTGGGGGAGGGCTGCCTGGCTCCTTATCTCGATGGTCTGGCCGGCCCCGGCCTTTGCCCGAGATAGGCGTCTTTGAAATGGGTGCCTGGGCGGTCAGACCTTAGGTCAGCCCTGCGGAGCAGTAAGAAACGACTGTCCTGGGCACGCGCTACATCCAGTCTTGGAAATGCTGCCTCTGATGCTGTGGTTTGGCTCTGTGATTGCCCTCTCTGTGTTTAGGAGGGGATTCGGAGAGAGTACAACACTCTGCTCTTCCCGCCATCTTCCCAGAACCCCAGGCGGATTTGTACAGGGGTCACAGTTAGTGAGATTCAGAAGTTACTGTGATTCCAGACGTGCCTGATCCAAAGAGGGCCGCAGCGGGTCAGTGTGCTGGGCCCCATACTCCCTGGCGCGTGGCGTGGGCACCAGCCCCCCGCGAGGCCTCCCGTTCCTCACCACTGCCCTGGGGGGTCCCCCGCGGGACAGCCTGCCCACTGCCCCCCACACAGGAGGTGCCCCGGGAGTGCTCCCCTGCGCCCTCTCCCTTTGCTTCTTCTACAGGTGAACCCAAAACTTCTGGAACTCTCCCTGGATTTTTCTCAGGAAAGAAATCCAAGGGTTTTTTGTTTTGTTTTGTTATTTTTTAAAACAAAGTGGCATTAAAAATTAATTAAAATAAATTTAAAAAAGAAAGTGGCATTAAAACCAGGCTATAAAATATTTAAATGTGTGAGAACACATTTAAAATCACTTTAGCATGAATAAGGATCTTATTTCAGTTCCAAATATATTCTTATTCTGTCCCAAAGCCAGCTTAGTTGTTTTTTTTCTTTCCCCATTACGTTTTGGATTAAAACCTCTATTTCTCTTTTTCTGTTTTTCCAGTTTGATCATTTGCTGCCCCCTGTTTGCTGTTTCTCTTTATAGCTTGCAAACCAGGCTGGAATTCCCCCAGGTGTGTACAATGTTATTCCCTGCTCTAGAAAGAAGGCGAAAGAAGTAGGGGAAGCACTTTGTACTGATCCTCTTGTGTCCAAAATTTCCTTTACTGGCTCGACAGCGACCGGAAAGGTACGTGACCTAGTCTCAAAGAAAACAGATGTCATTCTAATATTTTCTCTCTCTAGAGTAGGAAAATACTAGTTCATCTTTAGCACCCTTCTTAGGGAGATTTGCAGTGGAGGGTTAAGAGGTCTGTAGGATAAAGTAATGTCTGATCACCGTCCAGAGACATTTTGGATGGTGTCCCTTACTTACCGGGACAGGACAGAGGTCCTCTCGGACAATAAGGCGTTGGGGTGACCAGAGTTCCCATTATTTGTTGCATGTGAAGTGGCTGAAGGCTCTCCGTTGTATCTCCTCAGTTCTGGAATGCACGTTTCTTTCATAATCTAGAATTAAAGTTTCCAGAAACATAAAACTGATGTTAAAACGGACATCTTAGAACTGAACCAAAATTGTATTTAGTATAAAGGTACTTACAGAAACAGAAAGGTCTTTTTGTTTCCTTAAAAAGCTTTATAATTGTGCATTGAGTTAGCAATTCTATTTCTACAAATTTATACTGAGAGAATAATTGCAGCGTTATTTTGAATAGCAAGGAATTGGAAGCCTAAGTTTCCCACAGATGGGGGCTGAATAAATAAATTTATGGAACAGCCATGCAATGGAACTTTAGGCTGGCATCTAAAGAAATGTTCTAGAAACACGTGTGCTATCATGAGAGAATCTTCACGGTATAGTGTTACCCTGAAGGAAGAAGGTATAAGGTGTTATGAGCGTGTTAAGGTGTTCCAGATATGTGGTTAATTGGGAAGATAAAGCAGGTTACAGAACTTTATAAATCTACCATTCTGTTTTCTTAAAAAAAAGAAAAAAGTGCATCTATATGAAGCTGTGTATGTGGCCAAATTCTGGATCAATATACTTTAAAATTTTATCAGTGGTAAGCTAAGGGCATGGGATTCTGGGTGATTTTATTATCTTCCCTATGTTATGATTAAGCCTATTATATAATTTTTAATAGGTAGCACACTTACATGGTGCAAGAAGCAAGGCAGTATAAACATTCTTACATTCAGAAGGCTCATGCCTGCCCCTGACTCCCTCCCTTCTGTCCATGTAACTACTGTGAATTTCTTGTAGCCTTCCTACTGTGTCTTTATCGTATACAAATACATGTTCTTATGCAAACGGTCATCCTGGAGACACTGCTGTGCCCCTGGCTCTTGCCCTGCTGGGTCAGTGTTTGAAACAAAGGCTTACCGGTCCCAATCCTGACCTGGCGCTCACAGAGTCTGTCATCTGCGCACAGATACTGCTGCACCACGCGGCAGGCTCCGTGAAAAGGGTCTCCATGGAGCTGGGCGGCCACGCCCCATTCATCGTATTTGACAGTGCCAACGTGGACCAGGCTGTAGCAGGGGCCATGGCGTCCAAATTTAGGAACTCTGGACAGGTGAGTCCTGCAGTGTTTTTCAGGGTGTGTGTGGGTGTGTGTGTGTGCATGCGCACGTGCCTGTATTTCACAAAGATCTTACTGCCTAACTCACCTCCTGGAAGGAAACTTGCAGGTTCCTTCAATCATTCGTCCTTCACTCACCTTCAGCACGTATTTGGTAAGGGCTCTTTTTACGGCAGCTGTTCTCAGCTCAGAGTGTCCAAAGAGAAATAAGGTGTAATCCCTGGCTTCGAGCAATTTCCTGAACAGCAGATGTTTTTTAATCACATTGTTCTCTTCGTCTTCCTACTCTTTGAATCTGGTTATTTTCATAGTTTTCCCCTCACATTGGGCTTTTCTCTACTGAACAGATTAAATCATCTCCTCAGATACAAAACAGCCCAAACAGCTAGGGTCTGAGGCCCACAGTCTTAAGGAAGAGAAGGTAGGAAAATGTTGAGATTGTTCTTGAAAAACTCAAAATTCCATTGCCTGGGTCTCACTGTCCCTGATGGAGGTGGCCTGATAGGCACACGGTACAGCGTACCCAGGGGGTGTCCAGGTTGTCATCGGGAGAGTGGTGGCTCAAGTTCACACCTCCACAGGAAATCCTGGCTGAGCACATCTGGCATGACCTTCGAAGTGACCTGATATAGACCTCACATTTTACAGACGAGGAAATGGAACTCTGGAGACACTGGTTGATTTGAAGTCCTAGACCCTTGGATTGCAGTCCCAACTCAGTGGACTGAGGGTCTCGTCTCCCAGTTTCTCTCCAAGCTGTTGCCAGGAACCTGGCATCTTACAAAATATTCTTAAGTACTTTGTCTCAGAGTACCATCAATAAGTGGTTTTAAATGCATTCCAGAGACAATAAAAACTCCTGAAAGGTAATATTGTGGGGAAAAAAGGTGAAATGTTGTACTCTATATCAAGTAGTTTTCATCCTTGTATTGACCTTCAGTGATTAATTTCTCCCCTTTTATATAACCTTAAATAAGCTTGGTTGTTTCAGAAATACCTTTGTTTCCTTTTAGAAATGTAAAATGCTAATGGGTGTAACCTTCAGAGTCTCACTCATAAAGCTACAACTTTGAGGTATATTGCTTGAAGCCAATAAAAATGCATAGGACAAAAAATTTTATCTATATCTATTTACCTATAGTTTCTACTAGAAAAATACACGATTAAGAAAAAAGACGAGAAGAAAATCTATCAGTGATAACTGCATTTCTTATAACATAGTTATATTTTATAATTTAAAAATATTAGGTCTAGGAGTGCCTGGGTGGCTCATTTGGTTGAGTGACCAGCTCTTGATTTTGGTTCAGGTCATGATCTCAGGGTCCTGGGATCGAGCCCCATGTCAGGCTCTGCACTTAGCAGGGAGTCTGCTTAAGGATTTTTTTCTCTCTCCCTCTCCCTCTGCCTCTCCCCCTGCTCACATATGGTCTCTCTCTTAGACAAAACATAAACAAGGGTCTTTTCAATAATTTAGGCTGACATGGAAGAATGGTCTTGTGTCCATTTTCAAAATGTCAGATTCAGCCAAACCCTGAACAGTTTCATAAGCTAATGGATATAAGTCAGCCTTTGACTGCCTTCCATCCTGCCCCTGCTCTGTCATTGCAGCATCACTGTCTCTCACGGAGTTACAGGTTTTTTTATGCTCTTTTCTTCTTTCCCTATTTGTTTTATAGTGGCTTACTTAAGCCATTGGAAAAAAACTTGGGTCAGGTGGCTTTCTCTTTTTTGCACAGATATTTGTACTTGCTTACTTGTTTAACCATAAGGTGTGGCAGATATGGAGAAGGTTGGAGAAGGATGCGCACTTACTTAGTGCGTTTATCTTCAGGGCCCCACCCACCTGGGGAGGGACATGGCAGATTGGACACAGGATGGGAGCCACCTGGGGAAGTGTTTTCATATTCAGAGAGGTAGCAGCAGTCACACATTTATTGGTTGGGTCAACAGCTTCTGACAAACTGTCCTGTGAGTTTGGGTTTTTTTTATTTTTTTATTTTTCCCTGTCTAGACTTGTGTTTGCTCAAACCGTTTCTTGGTGCAAAGAGGTATCCATGATTCCTTTGTGAAGAAATTTGCTGAGGCAATTAAAACAAACCTGCATGTGGGTAATGGATTTGAGGAGAGAACTACTCAAGGCCCATTAATTGATGAAAAGGCAGTAGAAAAGGTAAGTTCATTTGATTTTTTGTTAAAGTAAATTTCATGGTTTTGATATCAAAGGCTTAACTAGCAGAAAACACTTTGGTAAAGTGCCCAGCAAGGCTGTTTTGGAAACAATGGAGAAATCAGGAAAAAGTGAATTTCTGCCCATAAGTATAAATCAGGTGGCTTCATCTGTCCATAAGGTTTTTCAGCTCTGGCATTACAGTGCCCATGAGATCTGTCACTTTAGATCTTCTACTGCCCTCCCTAAATTTTCTGTGATCGTGGTGATAATTTTATCCCTAGCTGCCCTAGGAATTAGGATCTTGAAAGACAAAGTTCTTTAATTTTTTGAACACCCAAAAGGAAAGGAAGACTGGTTTTGTTTGTAAAATCATGTATGTTTCAGCTGAAATGCTGGCTTCCATTGACAAAAAAAAAAAAACACCCTTCCAGAAGAGTCCTCCCTCCCTGGTAGGGAGATATGGAATAGCAGAAGCCACGCCCAGGATTTACAGATGGCAGGAAAGGGAAATTGCTTTTAGGAAGGATCTCTTTGTTTATAGAAAGTCACAGTCTAGATAGACCACTAGCTAGTTGTCCTTGTTGTTTTAAAACATAATCTCCTGTTTTAAAACATAATCCTTTTTAAGAAGGAAAATGTGGTATGTATACACACACATACACACACACACACACAATGGAATATTATGCAGCCATAAAAAAGAATGAAATCTTGCATTTGCAATAACACGGATGGCTCTAGAGTGTAACGTGAAGTACATCAGTCAGAGAAAGACAAATACCGTATGATTTCATTCATATGTGGAATTTAAGAAACAGAAAAAAGACACACAACAAAAAAATCAGACTCAACTCTAGAGAACTAACTGGTGGTCAGCAGTGGGGAGGAGGGTGAGGAGATGGGAGAAATAGCTGAAGGGGATTAAGAGCTCATTTACTGTGATGAGCACTGAGTAATGTATGGAATTGTTGAATCACTTTATTGTACACCTGAAACTAAGAAGGCACTGATGTTAACTGTACTGGAATTGAATAAATAAAGGGGGGGGGGAAATCCCATAATCCTTTTTAGAGTTGCTTACAAGGAACGTTCTTAGAGTATGAACATCCAAAACAAAAAACAAAAAAAAGGGAACATCCCATATGTTCCTTAGGTATGTCTCTACTAGTGAAAAGGATTTTAATGAAATCATTTAAAGCAGACTGAGGTTGGAGGCTGGGTTGTATGTGGGGAAAGAAGGGTGACACAGCCAGCATCCTGGGTGTCACCCGAGGAACCAAAATTAAGTTAGAGCCAGGTCAGCACCCACCTGGGCTCCTGCTGTTCATCGGCCGCCTGAGGACCAAGACCCCAGGGCTTCCCGGCCTCAGTGGGCAGTCAGGTCAGCCTCAGCCAGTGGGAGCCAGGGGAAGCATCGAGGTTTGACAGAGCTCTGTATTCTTGCGTTGGGATTGCCCTAATAGAGAACATGCATTAAAGTGTCCATTAAAGTGCTCCAGCTTCAAGAGTGAGGGTGTGTGTACTGGAGCCAGCCTCCCCTGCCTTTGCCCCTTGGGGAAGGGGACTGTCCCTGAAGTGAAGCCTGCCAAATCAGAATAAACCTGAGCTTGCCGTTGCCCCTCTTGTTCAGGGGAGAGATTGGAAACCACAAAGCCCACCCATGTCACCCATTTAAGTTAACCAAGCCAGCCGTTCACGAGGAAGGTGAGCAACCAGCAATCATGATAACTTTAGGGCAGACCCTCAGTGCATAAGAGGAACAGTCAACCCTCAAGGAAGAGGATGAGTCTGGGAACAGAAAGGAATTTTCTTAGAGTTGAATAGGCGTTCTCCCTGTGTTTTCAGCAGATTGCGCATCTATAAAACAAAAGCAGGTTCTGTGAAAATGAGGCAATGAGAACAAGAAAGGTTTTAGAAATTAAACACACGATGGTCAAATCTTTTTAAAAAAATCAGTAGATGAAGATGGAAGAATCAAGAAGAGCTCTTAGAATTTAAAGCAAAAGACAGATGAAAAATACAATAGAAATTTGAAAAGAAATGAATTAATCTGAGGTGAGGGGATATACATTTTAGCAACAAGCACTCCAGAAAGAACTGAGAGGGGGAAAGTAGCATTATCAAATCAATAACATGAAAACTCAGAGCCAGGGGAAATGATGCTTCACATGGAAAGACTTTACCAACCACCTAGTGGAATGAAAGGAAAAAGCCCCAGATACATTCTGCTAAAACGTGGAATGTCAGGAACATAGAAGATCCTAAACGCTTCCAGAGAGTGGGGGTCAGCTGCCTGCCCAGGAGTGAGAACTATCTCTGAACATGACTTTCATCAACAACACTAGAAATAGCAATGTGTACTCAAGAGTTCTGAAGCAAAATGATTTCGGATCACCATTCCGTCCCCAACCAACACAAGGTAAGACATCAGACATGCGTTGTCGGAAAACTCGGGAAGTAGGCGTTTTCGGTGTGCCTTTCTCAAAACAGCCACTTGAGGAGAATGTAATAGAACAGAATGAAAGTCAGGAGGACAACATGGCGCCCAAGAACCTGGAGCTAACTCAAGAGTGCAAAGAACAAATCCCAGGAAAACCGCAGAGTGTCAGGCCCAGAAGGACATCAGGCCATACTAGACCCTTCAACAAATTACAGGATCAGACAGTGGAAAATCTAAGAGCAGGGGAAGGTGGCACTTGCACACGCCACGTGCCCTCTTCCTGCCTCTGTGTCTCTGCATATTTGGTTCTTTCTACCTGGAAGGAACCAGGGCACCATCGTTCTCAACCTGTTTTTTAAGAAAAAGAAAGAAAGAAAAAACCGTTCCCTGCAGATTTAACACTCTTAAGAGATTGTATCATCTCCACAGTGATCTTCAAGCCAGCTCTCCCGGGGTCCTCTTTTTCTCTTCACACAGGTAGAGAAACAGGTGAGTGACGCGGTTTCCAAAGGGGCCACCGTTGTGACCGGCGGGAAGCGACACCAACTTGGAAAAAATTTCTTCGAGCCCACCCTGCTCAGCAATGTCACCAGGGACATGCTCTGCTCTCACGAAGAGACGTTTGGGCCTCTGGCGCCAGTGATCAAGTAAGATCACCCCGCCGGCGGGAAGACGGGAGAGGATCAGGGCGGAAGAGGGACACCTGGGCAGCTGGAGCACTGTTGTGAGGCCCGGGGTGGGGGGGGGGAGCTGCAGAGCAGAGCTCCGTTGTTTCAGCCGGAGAGCCAAGTCCAGTTCATGGTTCTGAAAAAAAAAAAAAAAAGTTTTTATCATAGACCCCTAAATTCACCAGATTCTTTCCTTTGCCTTCTTACTTCTTGCTTTCGGCTGGTCCATCTTCTCAGGGGAGCACGTCCTCAAAGAGTTCTTTCAAGGGAGTCAGCGGGAAGTGAACTTGCCGTGCTCTTAGGTGATGTTTTATCTCACTTTCAAAGGTCAGTAATAACTCACCTGGATAGAATTCTAGGCTCGGCACCGTGAAGATACTAATTGTCTATTTGTTTCCCGGGTTGTTACCAAGAAAGCTGGTGCCTGGCTCTTGTAGGGACCTGCTTATCCTCTTGGAGGCTGTTAGGATTCCTCACGGGTCTTTGACATCCTTGTCTTACCGGTGAGGCCCATCGGGAGCTTCTCCACGCTGTGGTCCTAACAACTTCCTTTAATATCCGAGGTGTCTGTCTAGTCCTGGGAAATTCTTGGTCATTGTTTCTCCAGATATTTCTCTCCCCCATCCATTCTTTAACGGCCTCCTAGGAAGACTGTGGTAGTGCCACACCCGCGTCACCCCCTGCTTCTCTTCACGCCTGTGTGTTCATTGCACATCTTCATCCATTCCCGAGACCTCCTAAGACACTCGGTCCCCTCCACCTGCCGGTGGAGTCCTGCATTCCTCAGATACCCAGCGCTGTGCTACCCAGCCCATCCACCGCGTGCCTCGGTTACTCTTCCATCCCTGATGTCTCCAGTTCATTCTTCCTCATCATGGAGTCTTCCCGCTTCATTATTCTCCCTTACGTTGCCATGGATGCTTATCCGTTTCTTACATTTTATTCTGTTGCTCGGTTTCCGCCTCCTATGGTGTAGGTCGTTCTGTAGGTCATCCTCCTCAGAGCTCCTCAAATGTCTTGTCGTTTTCTCTGTGAACTCGTCTGTAGCTTTTTGAACGCTTAGTGTCTGCCTCGGAGTTGTGGTAAAAAGCTTAGGCCTTAGTCTGGGCTGCTTCTGATACATCTGAGCCTCAGGAAGGAAGCTTCTAGTATGAAATCCAGTCTCAACATGACTGCCTGTGCCCCAGGTATTTTTGGCTTCCTGGGGTATTTTGTGGTTACCTCTGGAGTAACAAGAGGGGTTCAAGGGAAGAGGCCTCTGGTTCATGCTGTTGCCTATACTCGTTTTGGGTGACTCACCAGGCCAGCTGGGCTCGAGTTCTGCCTGGGCCCCACCACCCTGAGCTGGCCCTGCTGCTTTCCTGCTTGTAGGCATGTACCACTGGTCCAGGGACCCGGGTCTGTAGGCAACAGCACCTGAATCCATAGGCACGGGGGCGGGGGTGGGCACAGGTGCAGCCCCTCCCCCCCCTTCTGCAGGCTCTGTAGTGCCCCGGCCCTTCCCAACCCTCCATGGGTGGCCCCTAGCTCTCTCCCACTTGAGGCCATTATTCCCTCAGGATTCAGCCACCTTCTCGGCCCCCAGAAGTGTCTTGTGTTTTTGGTCTTAATTGCTAATTGAGGGTTTTTGAGCTAAGATTCTCTTTCTCTCTCCTCCGGCATCTCCAGCATCAGGTTCCCAGGGAGAGCTGGTCCCCGGCGCTACCCGTGCCATCTTGTCTGGGACAGAAGTCTCTCTTATCATATACTTTCCTGGCTTTGTTACTATCTTGCCAATGAAATTTACATATTAATCCATCATTGGGGAAATGGACCACTTGAAGAACTTTTGTCTTGTCTTAATAAAAATTTTTTTACCTAGAATGTGAACTTGACATTTCCAAGGAGCCTAGAGGATGCAGTCAGTGGTGAGGAATGCAGCCTTTGGAGTTGAATTGGGTGTAGATTTAGGCTTTGCTGCTTCCTACCTGTGTACCCTTGGACGAATTAACTTCTCTAGTCCCAGGGTCCTCGTATGGGAAAGGAACAGACCTAGTACCTGCTTTGCAGAGTAGTGACACAGGTTCAATTACATGATGTGCATAAAGCACGGAGCACAGTGCCTGATAGCATTATGGTTGTTGTTACGTAATCGAAGCTTTAGGTCCGGGAGGGGGACAAGTTGCTGCTAGCGGGCTCCGGTCTTACCACACCTCTCCTCTGGGTACAGTGGTGAGCACACAGCTCCAGCGTGTGCAGGAAGGTGAAAATCCTCAGGAATGCTATAGTCAGTGATGTGATGACTGTTTCTGAGGGGTAAGTGGGAACATCAGCCGCGCGCTATTGTTCTGTTCTCCGGCGGGCAGAACGGCTTGCTGTCTGTCTACAAGTCGGCAAGCCTAGGAGATACGGCTGCGCATCCTCGGGACAAGTGATCCTCCTGGGGTCCCCCTCCTTGATCTCCCCCCAGAGCCCTCTTCTCTCTCACCCCTCCTCTTGTGTGGACGGGGCCCAAGGCGACCCCGCTGGCTCTGCCCGGTGCCTTTAGAGATGGCCGCCGCCCGGGGCCCGCAGATCTCAGAATTTAAGAATGGGGGGCTGAGAGCCCTCTGCCCCAGAAGAACGCTCCTCACATCTTGTTCCAGAGGTAAAGTGGTAAAGCTGGAAGGGACTGCAGAGGGCTTTGGAACGACCACTCCTCATTTCAGGCAGGAGCAGGGCCCGGTGCTGGCCCCCTCCCGGTGCCTTTCCACTAACGTTACGCCTGCTTCCACGTGGGTGCTGGTTGTGCTAGTCTCAGTACGTAGCAGAGCGGTTATCCTTTTGGGAGGCACTCGGTCTGACATTCTGGATGCACTGCATCCCACCAGCCTGCTTGCCTCCTGGTCTCTGGGAAGAGAGGAGCCAGCGTGTGGAGCACTAGGGCTGTTTTCTTCTGTACCCTGCCCTGGGGTCTCTGTGCAAAACTGCCGTTTACCCCCTGCCATTATTTGGGAAGCCAATCGGGAGAAAAGACAGCGGGTTTTCCTTACTCTCACCTACAGATTTTGCTGACCACGCATTCCACTTTGGCAGGTTCGACACAGAGGAAGAGGCTGTGGCCATCGCTAACGCGGCCGACGTGGGGCTGGCAGGTAGGCGGTCCTCCTCACTCGGCGCCATGCTCACCGTTTCTCGAGCTGGTGCCACGCTTGCCTTTGAAACATCACCCTGGGTTTTGAGAAGGAGATGCCATTGGGGTGTATGTTTTGTTACTTTCTGGGGCACAAGTGGGTTTGTGCAAGTTCGTGGCCTGCCGCCTGGTCCTTCTGCATTTGGGAGCTCCCTGCAGAGAGCGGAGGGAGTGCGGGAGAAGAGGGGGGGCAGCTTGTGGGGCAGCCCACACCCCACAAGTCCCACGTCCTCCGAGGCTTCATGCCTGCAAACGCCGAGTCTGTCTTCTTCCATTCTACCTGGCTCCCGGCAGCCTGAACCAGACGGAGGGCAGCGGCAGAGTGTCAGGGACGGTGAAAGAGGCAGTGGGCGTGTGTGCAGACAGAGCCTGAGTGGTCACCGTCCCTTTAGTTTGGAGATGGTCAGGGCGGCCGCAGCACGTACCCCATTACCCTGACATCATTACGTGCACACACATGTACCCGACAAATCGACGTCAGTGCCCGCAGTGAGGGGAGTGCTGAGGAGGATACAGAAAAGGCCATGGCTCCGCAGAGGCTGCCCCTCTGGGTGTAAGAGAGGCATTTATAACGGGAGGAAGGACGCACACACCGTGGAGGCCCTTCCCCCACGCCGCCTGCAGAGAGTTATCCTAAGGCTTGGGTGGGAGGTGTGCGGGAGCGCCTCGGGGACACAGCTTCGTGCTCCTTCCCTTCATGGTGGGGCGAGGGGACCCGCACCCTGCGTTAGGTCAGCAGTGACGGGCGGCGTTCTGATCATGCAGAGGTGGGAGGAGAGAGATTCTGGGCAGAGGGGGCCAGGGGAGTTGAGAAGGAAGGAAGGACAAGGACAGGATGGCTGGTGACTGGCGTGATGGAAGGTAACGCTGAAAATGCTGAGTCCACACTGGGGAGGGTTCGAGTACCCCCGAAGGTTTAACTTTATTTTGTAAACAGCAAGGAGTCACCGGAGGGTGGGGCAGACAGCACGAGGAGAGCCCCGCAGAGGGGTCAGAGGTGTGGGGGAGAGCCTGGGCCGCGCACGGCAGGATGGGGGGGGGTTCCGGCCGCGGTCCTGGGAGGCGGTGAAGCGCGCCCCCGAGAGAGTGGGGCAGAAGCAGAATGACGGGGTCCCACAGGTCTGTGAGGAAGCACGGACAGGACCCGCGTGGGGCCCCTGGGGGAGCAGGGAGGATTCCAGGCCTGTGACGAGACACGCCGTCGCCGCGGGCGTCCTCGGCTTCAGACGTGAGGTCTTTCACGACTGTCCTACATGCTGTGTATGTCCTTATCCCCATGGCAGGTTATTTCTACTCGCAAGACCCGGCCCAGATCTGGAGAGTGGCAGAGCGGCTGGAAGTCGGTATGGTTGGCGTCAACGAGGGACTGATATCCTCTGTGGAGTGCCCTTTCGGTGGCGTGAAGCAGTCTGGCCTCGGGCGAGAGGGGTCCAAGTATGGCATTGATGAGTATCTGGAACTCAAATACGTGTGTTTCGGAGGCTTGTAGGATTCGTTTAGTTCTTTAAAAAAATAAAAAGGGAAGCTTACTTACATATATGGGGACCTGCCATCCATTATTTTAAGTGAACGAATAGGTTATTGGAATTAGGAATTGTTAAAAACTCACCGAGTGCTCATCATCTCAAGCAGAGGTTGGGAACCCCCCCTCCCCTTACCTGACCAGGGACCAGCAGATGCCGCGTGCCTGTGGCAGCCACAGTCTCCCCAGGAACCCTCACGGCCCCGGGGGGGAGGGGGGACATCCCAAAGGCTCCATCACTGTCTGGGCACCTGGGCCGCGGCACAGCCATCCCCCCCCCGTGGCTCCGAGCCCCAACCAGAGGTCTGCAGGGAAGAACCCTGAGCACGACGAGCAGGCACACCATCCCCGGCCGTCCGCCAGCTCAGCACTGCAGAGCCTGCCAAGTGTTTGGAGGTGTTGCCACACGGGCTGAATCGATCAGTTTTCAAGACCTCTGAAACAGTCCCAAATTGCCTGTGTTTCCGTGAGGAATGAAGGAGCACCTTTCCCTTCTCCTGGACCTTTTCTTTTTTTTTAGTTTATTTTTTTAGTCATCTCTGCACCCAGCATGGGGCTCGAACTCATGACCCTGAGATCAAGAGTCACACACTCCACCGACTGAACCAGTCCAGTGCCCCTGGACCATTTTTTAAGTTGAAGGCTTCACCGTCCTAAATTTATTACTTAAAGATGATGTTTTCATTTTCGTCCTGCATTCCACTTCATTGTGTTTCCTTTAGGAAATGAGCCTAAGCGTAAAGCAAAGCCCCTCCCCTTGTTGGCTGTGGACGGCAGCTCCGTGCCCCTGTAGTAGCCTTGTTCAGTGGACCTGCCGTTCAGCACCCGTTCCTCCCGCAGACTGGAGATTCCGTATATGCCTCACTTAGCTCGATGGGCTCTTGTGAGCCTGACAGAAAGCGAAATACTTGCCAAAACAGAAAAAGAGAAAAGGAAGAAAATCTGGTGTAAGTACAAGACCTATTAATACTAGTAGCAGCAAAGCCCCCCTTGGGCATCCAGCTGGTGAGGAAGGCTGGTGCCCACCTGCTCTCCCCCCTGGGATGAAGCGGTTGTCACCTGCAGCCTGCTCTTCCTGCCCTCATGGGGTGCTGCACTCCTTCCCCTCCAGAAGAACAAACACAGTCTCTTGAGAGGAAAACCAATTTCCATAATGGCCAATTCACCTAATGGAAGAGGCAGGAGGCCTTGAATGTCAAGCACCCTGTATCCAGTAAGAGTTTTTACGGTTCGTTATTTAAAGCAAAAAATGACTGGTGTCTCCTATCTCTCTGAAAGAGGAACTCTGATTCAGAAAATCTAGGCTTTTCTGGACATGTCTCCCATCTGTACTCAGACACTGAGGAAAAGGAATCAAGGCTGTTCCTGACGGAGTAAGCGGAGATAAAGCTCTTTCCTTTTCCACTCTCTCTGTATGTGGAATCCACTGACATTTAGGGGATATTCTGGGTAGTGGAAGGAGAGCCTGTGGGCAGTTCCTGCCACCCCCTGGGACTTAGCATTCTTCCCTACGCCCCTAGGGAGCCGAGGTTAAGTCACTAGCAGTCTGGAATGCCCGTGGGCACAGAGGAACTCACCTCCGGTCCTGGAGCTACCTTCTGTTAGCCACCTTCTGTTAGCCTGGATCGAACCAGCTGTATCCCGATACCCACAGAAGAAATGAGCTGACATCCACCTCCTGGTGACATATCTCACCTACACCCTGTTAGGAATCACATATGCAGCATATTGTCAGTTTATTCCTTTTTGTTTTTATAGTTTTAGGTGGTTTTCTACATTCTAATTACTGAAGATTTGGATGTGTCCATCTGGTTTCTCTTAACAATAAACATGCTATAACATTGTTTGTTAGAAGTGTGGAACACTGATGCTGGGAGGCGTTAGGAGAATACATTCGCGTATGTGGGTAACTTTCTAAGCCAGTGGATTCCTTCGCTGGTGGCAGATTTGAGTTTTCTTGTCTGTTTGGCTCACCCGGTACATAAATTCAGGTCCAGAGACTCACTGCAATATCTTTGATTAATTTTGTATTTAAAATGATTTGAGACGGAAATAGGTTACTGTTTAGTAAAACTGTTGTGGGTTGTGGGAAGAAAGAAAAGTGTCTCTAACTGAACATTTCAGGGGATTATTTTTCAGTAAGGTAATCCTATGTGATTGGGTTGCCAGGGGTTGGCAAACTACAGCCCACAAGCCAAATCTGGCCTGCAACCTGTGTCTGTACAGCCCAGAGCATTAAGAATGGTTTTGTATTTCCAAATGATTGGAAGGGGGGGGGGTCAAAAGGATATTTCATAACACAAAATTACAGGAAATTCAGATTTCAGATTCCATCAATGAAAGTTCATGGAAACACAGCCATGCCCATTCATTTAACATTGGATCCACGGCTACTTTCTAGGTAGAGTTGAGTACTGGCAACATAGACTTAGTATGGCCTGCAAAGCCTATAGCATTGGCTCTGACTGAAAAAGTTTGCCAACCCCTGATCTAGAGCTACTGATGCTGAGGGAGATACTGATCTTCCTGCATTTACCAGGCATTTTATTTCACTGAACACCCTGTGTAAAAAGTACTTTTCTGGGCATTGCTCCAACGAGTTCTCACCAAGAACTTGCCACAGCAATGATCATAGAACTCAGATGAAATTACCTGGATAACAAGACTGTGTTGGCCTAGAGAAAACTTCTCAATTTGCTTTTCCCAGCTAGGCAGGGATTTGCATTGAAACAGCTTATCTGCATCTGTTGTATTTATCCCTTCGAGTGGCTTTCAAACATGATTTTATGTCAAGTGTTGTATTCTTTTCTCCTTTATTCTTATGGAAAGACTTCATGAAAATAAACATCAGAAGCACAATGCAAATAAATCTGATTTTACTGTTATACTGTTAACTTTAGATTGTGCCACAGGCCTGCCTTCTCAGAAGGCTGGAACCCGGGGTTTTAATTATTCATGTGCAGCTATGTTAGAGAGCATTTTACTTGAGTAATATTTATGCTGTGATTTTTTGTGTGTGTGCTGTATTTTGTAGGATAAAACTTGGGAATAAGTAGTGGGAAGTGTGGAAACATTTTGTTTTTTAAATGTGCACAGAACGCATTTTTCCAGTTTTTGATAACTGTTGTACGTGTATCAGTGTTCGTCAGCAGAGTTGTGTGTAATTAATAAATGTTGCATTAACAGAATTTCCTGTTTCTGTGTTAAGGTTTCCGGTTGTGGTTATCTCCAGTTCATCATTTCAGTTTATATTGGATATTATTAGACCAGTTCAGATATGTATGAAGAATAGCAGTATGCCATCCCAAAATATGCTGCTTTGATGTAACAATTATTGTGAGCTGAAGATGTCTTAAAAGAAGCAGATACCAGAAAAGCTGTCTGCCCTCCTATTTTCTTAAAAGCAGGACCTAAGTTCACAAAGGTGCCCCCATCCCTGCAGTAGGAAGGATAAAGGTTGATCCGCAGAGACAACTCTAGATCCTGTCGGCCTGGAAAGGGCACCAAAGGAATCTACATAACAGATTTTACCAACTAGCTTTTGTCTCTACCCTTGAAAGCCTACAACTGCTTTCCTCTGTCCTGTCATTTCTCCACAAATGTATTGCTCTTTGTTGAGGATGCTATGTAAGCCAGAGTTTTAAGCCACCTCTTTTGAGTTCATTCTTCCCTGGGTATCTCCCATGTATACATGAGGCATACATGTTAATAAACTTGTTTTTCTCTTTTTTCCTCTAGCTTTTATTTCAGAGGTCTCAGCCAAGAACTCAGAAGCGTAGAAGGAAAAATATTTTTCTTCTCCCGCAGGTGTAAATAGGGCTCCCTCCCCAGAGAGCTTCTAGCCAGTGAACATGGTGGACCAGGAGCATGCATGTGAAATTTTGTACCCTAGCATCTTCACGAGGATCTGTCCCGTGGTTTGTGCTCATTGAATGTTTGCTGAACCAGACTGAAAATTTACATGGTTTATAAGTGTGGCTGTGTGAGAAAGTATACTCCAGCTTTCTCAAATTTGCCAGTCTCTTCTACTCACTCCACTGTTACCCATTACATACTTTTCCTCAAGTTTGGGCTTTTCTGATACAGAGAAGTATGAGGAAGAAATTCCCTGAATCCTGCTATTCAGATATAATCACTGTTAATTATTTGAACAGTGTATCTTATATTTTCACCCAGTGCTCATTACTTTTTAAGAAATTTCATGTGGCCTCATTGAATCTGACATTGAACAAAAGTAAGTTTTTCATTGGAAGAAAGAGCAGTGCCACTGGATATGTGTCTCCCTTTGTCATTCCACTGAGTTCAGGCATTTTTCACCTGCTTTGGTTTTTTAAAAAAATGAATATATGGGGGCTCAGTTGGTTAAGCGACTGCCTTTGGCTCGGGTCATGATCCCGGGGTCCTAGGATCAAGTCCCACATCGGGCTCCCTGCTCGGCCGGAAGCCTGCTTCTCCCTCTCCTATTCCCTCTACTTGTGTTCCCCCTCACGCTGTCTTTCTCTGTCAATTAAATAAATAAATAAAATCTTTAAAAAATGAACATATGGTAAGTATTTTATTTAACTCATTAATGAGGAAGCTGGTAAGGGTATTATAACCAGTTGAAAGGATAAGCCAAAAACTCCCACAAATTTTGTATGGATGAGAAACCTTGAAATGAATGTGCAAATGCAAGTACACTAGCTTCTTCCATACGTGGGAGGGAAGTCAGTCAGACTCCCAAGACGCCAGAATTTGCATTTTGCACCACTCTTCTCTGCAATGGTACAGGGTCAGAAAATGCCTCAAGGGCACTGAATGCGGGAATCAGAGAACCCAGGAAGGCCTGCTATGTGTAGACAATGCTTAGTGTTCCACTGAACCTGCTTTTGATTTTTATAATTACTTTATTACCAGGAGAATTTACCCATTTACCTCTCAGTTTGGGGGTTCTTTACATCCTTGGCCTAGGCCTCTGCTTAAAAGCAAGTGTTACTTTCATCTCCTATTTCTTCCATTCTCTATCAGTAAATATAAATGCTACAGCTTCTTTCTATTTTAGCCTGCAACAAATTAAAAAGCAAATCAGTGTGGTTTTCATTGATGAAGTCTGGGAAAACTTTCTGGAAAAATAGCAGGCCCTGCTTCATCTAAGAGTGTTGAAAGGCTACCAGCATATTCTATTTGCATGTGCTATTTATAAATGAATGGAAATGGGTTTGGAAATTGGCAGTCTGAAGATTTACCTACCATCCATCCATTTTATCAGCTAACTAGGAAGGACTCGCCACAGTGTAGGCCATGAACAATCCCCCGTCCTGGTGATTCGGGGGACATGGACGTTTTTGCAGGTGTTGTGTCAGATTAGGTAAGACTGTGTGCTTTCTTTCGGTTGTGCTAAGACCTCAGGCCTGCAACTCTGGGCTCATCACCTTGGGACAGAGATGATAATACTAAGTAGGCTTCAAATACAGGAAATTTGGCCATTCCCTAAACTCATCTCAAAAAGGGAGACTGTTTAGTTGGAGAAATGCTGGTTGTTGTTGTTGCTGACTTTAACAGAAGATCTCTTAGGATTTCACTGTTAATCACGAATCTGGCTATTTCCCCTCCACATCTTTCAACTTTCTATTTTGAAGTAATTATAAACTCATGGGAGGTTGCAAAAGTAGTACATTCTGCTACACCTCCCACCCATTTTCCCCCAGTAATTACCATCTTACATAACTAGTATCAGGGAACTGACATAAGTATCATACTGTTAATACAGGCCTTCTGGCAGTTTCCCCAGTTTCTTGTACACTCATTTATGTGAATGTGTGTGTTACCCAACTTAATTCCATCGGTAGGAAGATTTGTGTCATCACCGCCACAATCAAGATACAGAATTGTATCTGTAACTGTAACTATCCACCATCACCAAAGAAATCCCTCGTGCTAGCCCTTTATACTCAGCTTTGGAAGTAAAATCACTTGGCAAGGTTTCTTATTCTTGGGTGAGGGGCATGAAGGAGGACACATGATGTAATGAGCACTGGGTGTTATATGCAACTGATGAATCACTAGATTCTACGCCTGCAACTAATAATACAGTCTATGTTAACTAAATTGAATTTAAAAAAATTTTTTTTAAATTTCATTCAGTGTAACATGCATGCCAAAAAGTGTACAGAAGTGAACAACTTGCTTAATCTTCACAAGCTGAGCATACCCTGTGACCAGCACCCAGAGCAAGAAACAACACTGCAAGTCCCCACCTGTGCCCCTGCTGGAATGACTACTTTTGTTTGGTTTTTAAAGATTTCTTTATTTATTTTGGAGAGAGAAAGAGAGCAGGCATGCAAGGGGGGGAGGGGCAGAGAGAGACAGTAGAAGTGCCGGGCTGTGGGGCTGGGCACATGGTTCTGAGAAGGGCCAGGAAGTGGATATTTGGGGTTGGGACGGGCCCTGCAGACCGCTCCTCTGCCGTCCCCCAAGCAGGAGCGAGGGGCGTGCCTTCCATCACGGCTGTCTTGGTGCACCCTGAAATCCCAACTCCACTGAAGTCTCACAACAGCCTCACGATTTCCCGAACCATTTGGAAACGTGAAAACCACCGTGGGCTCACAGGCCGCACAAAACAGGTAGGGCCAGCTTGCCGACTCCCACCCCAGGGAAGGCCCTCGCCCAAAGCAAGGAGTACTCCCCTGCTCCGACGCGGCGTTACGGAAATACAGATGCCTTTATTTAGACTGGCCATGTCTCATACGTGCTGTCCTACAAGTAAGAGCTGGTCAGACCTGGGAAATATCACAGGGCGGCCCGGGGCAGCTGGGACCCTCTGCCCCCAGGCTGGGGCACCTCCCGCGCCGCGCGGCTTTCAGCGGCATTCTTCCACAACTGGCCTCAGTACCCAAGTCACATCCCCTTGCACTGACTGGAAGGGTCTCGTGGGCGGGCTTCTCCGTCGAGCAGCTGGAGAACCTTCCCTCCACTGGCCCTGGGGGAGTTTCTGCCCTGGATGGTGGGCAGAAGGCGGTTCTTCCTCACCCTGAGCTCTGCCCCGCCCGGGGCCCAGGTACCCGGGGCCCAGGTACCCAGGGCGAACCGCCTCCTGGTGCACCTGAGGTCAAGGTGCACCTGTGGGGGAAGAGAGGCCAGGGGAGGCGGAAGCAGCCCTCCGAAACCAGAGCGCTGCCGCAGGGTGTAATCCCGCAGGAGGGACGAGGGAGGCTTCTCTGCGGCCTGTGTTCTCTCCAACGTCAGAAGGAAGTCCCCTGGGTCCCAGGAACAAATGGTCCAAAAGGCCATCCAGAATCTGCTGTCCAACAGCTGAGGGTGGGCGTTCTCTGTATAGTAAGGGAGGAGGGTGGAAAGCATGGGCTTCACAGCTTAAAAAACGTGCATTCCATTCTCAGATCTAGCACTCTTGGGCTGTGACCTTGCACAAGTTGCTTAACCTCTCTGAGACTCCAGGTCGTTCTCTGCCACAGGAGAATAATATCTCCTTTTCCAGGCTGACTGGAAGGACCAGTGGGGTATATATAAAACATGTATTATGCGCATAAAGCACTTAACAAACGTCCACTCTCTTCTTCATTGCACTCTATCCGCCTCCTGTTCTGCATTCCTCAAAGCCAGAAATTTCTGGTTGTACACAAAACAACATAATTCTGTTCACTAGGTATGCGAGAGATTAAGTTTATGAAGATAAATACTGGTGTAGAAAACATCACATCTTCCTTCTAACATCACAGATAGCAAACTGAACTGACTAGCAATACAGAAAGTGGAGGCATAAGCAAAGAAATTATTTAAAAAAAATAAAATTATAGTCTTATATACTTTTTAGTTCTGCCGTTCCCCAGAAAGTACAAAAATTGAAAACAAGATGATCTCATAAGGATGAATACGACCAGAGAGAACAAAAGCATCCGCAAGCTTAATTTTGTTCAGGGACCCACAGGAACTATTTTCTCCCTTGTTCCCGAACTGATGGTTTAAACCTGGTGGTTTAATCCTCTTGCTTTTCCACTTCATCATGGTAAAGCAATCCTAGTTTCACAGAAACTTGTGCACCAGGGTCCTGTTTAGGTGTGTTCCCTTCTGAGGCCACAACACTGATTCTGTGATGGGCCCCACCTCTATTCTAATCTTTCCAAAGAATGCCAAGGGCACCTCCCAGGTCACCAGCCTCAGGACTATGGATGGAGAACGAACCAACAGGAGCCAGCCACCTCCTCAGGCTATAGTTCACTCCAGGTCTGCTCTGGGGTGCTCTGTGGTTGGGGATGTCCCCCCCTATATATTTAAAATGAGATTTATTTGGTTAAAAAAATGGTTTAATATATTTTTTTAAACCTATGAAGTGAATGTCTATGTCAATTTGTTATCATGGAAAGTATCTGTAGGGGCCAATTATCATGAGCATCCCATCCTAATTAAGACAGACTATATTTCTGAGTTTGAGAATAAAGACAAAGTTGTTGAGTCATTATCCCTATCTGTGGCAATCTAAATGCATGCCTATGGACATACTCAATACATGTTCCATCGGCTAATAATCACTTTTATCACATTTAACGTACACTGGGGCTAGGAGAGGCTTCAAGGTAGCTTTTCTAGGAGAAAGAAAAGGCAAAGAATGTTACCATGTGACCTTCAACTTTCAACCCACAGGTCCTCATGCCCCCATGTCCCTGTCCATGTCTCCGGTCCTTCTCAGACGATTCTCACTCAGCTCTCAGATTCCCAGGAGCTGCTGTCTACAGAGGGCAAATGGTGGCTGGCCACAGCAAGGAATAAACATACTGGGGGGCTTTGCTCTGTATGGGTGTCTCAGTCAGCACAGAAAACTTGCTGCACAGAAGACAACCCACACCTCAAATAAGCTACTGTAATATACACAGCCATTTGACTGTGTGGGTCCTACCAGAAAAACCATGTTCAGGATGTCGTCCTCAAAGGCAATCGCAGCTCCAAAGAGAAATCAGCCCTTTTTAAACGCGTGTTTAACTTACCTAGAGGTCTGCAGACAGACACAGGGGTAGTCTTTATTTCCACATAGGTAATATAAATACTGTGCCACCTACAAAACACAAAACTCTTTTACATATATACCTAGTCTCTTACCCAACCTTTATCCCTGTTAGCAAGCATTTCTGTTAAAAGAGCAACGTTTCTGTTTTGTTTCATGTCTCAAACACCCCAAGAAAACAGATCTTTTAAATACAGGGACACACATCCAGCCCCGTGTGAAAGGACATTAATGCACTATTCTAACAAGAGTTAGTTCTGTGTTTTAACTCCCATTAACTGGTCCTGGATTCAGCGATTCCTGTGGGTAGCCTTCGAGTTTACAAACCGCTCCATTATCTGTCCTTTGAGCAATAGCTGAAGGAAGCTCCATTTCTGAGGGAACCATTCATAGAGACTTTTGGATTCCCTCTCTCCATCCTCTCTCGGCTGAAGATTGTGTCTTGATCACTGTCAAACTCAGACTCGGACACCATCAGGCTGGAGTTGTGCTCTGTGCTTCGGTGTTTAATACCTAGGGAGAAGTAGACAGATGCATCTTGGGGGGAAATGGCCTTTTTCGCTCTCAGCTGTCTTTCTGGTTGTAGGTCCCATGTACCCAGTGGTGTTCTCTGCACCTTCAAAGCATCACTCACAACAGAGCAGGGGTTGGGGGCCCTGGTGAGCAGCAACAGGGGCTTTGGAGTCACCCCTGAGCTTCAGACCAAGCTTTGACACTTACCAGCTAGCTATGTGATGCTGGACAAGATGCCTAACCTCTCTGGGCTTTCAGTCTCCATAACCATTAATACTGGGAGATGACAGAGCATGTACTCCACGGGTTTATGGTGAGCACTCTGTGAAACAGTGCAGGTGAAGCTGATGCCCAGGAGTTAGCACGCAGTAAGCACTAAGTGAAAGCTGTTATGGTCTTATGATTTGGTTCAATCAAAATATTTTTGGTACAATATGTGATTGCTGCTGGTCAAACTAAGAGAAGTGGTATAAGATGCGATCCCTGCTCTCAGAGAATTTATAGTGTCTAGCTAAGGGCTTAAGACAAAGACTCATGAGAAGACAGTTCAAAACAGGCAAGAAACGTTGAAAAATCAATCTTACAGGAATCAAGAACGGATAAGCACACACTGATCGGCTAGCATTGCTTCAGTGATATTTCACACAGGCGGAGATTTGGACAGGAGGACTGGGGAGTTAGTTCTGTGTTTTAACTCCCAGAGTTAAGTGTGCAGAGAGGCACCAGAAATACTGGGAGAAGCAGGTGGCCCGGCCCTACCCGCCATGGGCCCTCGCGGGCTCTGTCTAAGCTTTGTGTTCACCTGCATATGGCTAGTCAGTTAAGGGAAATACTCTCAGGGAGCAGACCTGCAGGGCACAGCGTTCAGAGGTGAGCTGGGGTGGAACGGTGCCACACGCCCAACAGCCCAGCCGTGACAGAGGCAAACCTGTTTGAAAAGCAGTCTTTGCCTGCAGTGGGGACAAAGGTGGAGTCTCAGCTGATAAGAGACATTTCATATCTCTCAGCTGTTGAGGCCTCAAAGTGCATCCCCCAAATTTCATGAAATTTAGAATACAATTATGCCTCCCCGTCACATATCCTTGGGATTGGCGTAGGTTTTTCTTCCCAGAAGCTCAGACTCATTCTTCCTTCCCAATTAAATTGCTGGCTCCAGCCTGTCGCTCCCCCTTCACCCAAAGGAACGCTCTGGCAAACCCCCGGATCCGATCCTTTCAAGCACCAGGCAAGCATCGTGCAGACCACCTTACCATACTTGGGCCTCAGCTCCATTCTCTCCTGGTCGTCCATGTTATCCAGGATGGTATACTTGGTTTTCTTCCTTATTTTAGTCCTTTTTCGTCTGAGAGGAACAACGAAAAGCCCGACTCAGGTTCTTAGAGAGGGAACTGGGAGCCAGGAATTAAAACGCTAAAGGAAATGGTTTGCCTTTAGAATGGAAGGGTCGGCACGTGTAGGGATGATGTGCGTATACACGGCCAGGACTGGGTTCGGTGGGGCTGAGGCACAGCGTGCATCCCGAACAAATGCAGGAGCAGGGCGGCCATTCCCCCAGTGCCCACCTAACCACAGGCTCTCGGCCAGGGCCCTTGAGAGGGTGCTGGCACAGCGAGCTTTCAAACGAATAATGCTTTACTTGGAAAAACCTGGATGCACACATTTCCCCCCTAAACCTACACTGCCTAGAAGGTCCAAAGATGCAAAGATGATATAAACTAGCAACCAGGAAAAAAAACAACCAAAAACAGAAATATAACAGATTCCCAAAATTAATTGGCAACAACCCAGGATTTCATTTTTCACAATGCATGAGAAACAACTGATCCTTTATGCATCATCCTAAACTGCCGAGGATTATGTGAAAACACACATCAAAGCCACGGGAAGGTTATGCTGAGGACAGTTCCAGAGCATTCAGTTTCCTGACAGGGTGGTGACTTAGAGCATGGGCCTCTAAACCTTGATTCAGTGCTTACTAGCTAGCTGGGTGACTCTGAGACAATTTTTTGATACTTCTGTGACTCCACGTTCCTACCTGTAAAATGGAAGTAAAAACAGTCCCTTTTTATACGGTTGGTGGGAAGACTGAATAATATATATAAAGCACGGAGAGCCATTTGTCACAATGGCGAATACTTCATATTCCTTATTAATACTTAAAAAGGTCACCGTCAACCACTTTCTTCATCATCACCATGATCTGCTTGATACATATGCCATAAAACTGCAGAATGTGTATTTTTTTAAATTTTCATTTATTTTTATTTTTTGCATAATTTTTACAGCCAAGCACAGCAGGGTGCCCATGGTCCCACATGGATCTGGGAAAGTTTACTGGGATTTAGGCCTCTGAGTACCCGTGCCCCTCCCCCCCCCGGCTTCACCAGCCTCACTACTGGGAAAGGAGTCACAAATAAAACCAAGATAATGTGAGCGGTTTCAAAAAATAACTATTAATTACCGTACACATTAGTTTTTTTTATCATATCTTCTTTGGAGAGCATTTAGTGTTTTGTGTCGATGGTGGGTCACCGACACCGTCTTCTAAAGGACTCGAGAAATCACTGTCCCTACAAATCTCCTCACAGAGGGCTGGGCACAGACTTCTGGAAGATTGAGACATCGAGGCAGCTCGGGGGCTTCTCGAGGTCAGCTCCATAGAAGAAGGAAGAGGGAAACACCGAAAGCAAAACTTCTCTTTGGTGATTGCAGGGCCTGGATTAAAGTTTTGCATTTATTCAATAGGATTGAGATGGATTCCATTGTTGCTTCACACAAAAGAATCAAAATCTAAATTTGCATCAGAATGTTTCTGGAACTCCTTCCTCTCCTGAGGGCTGATCAGTCAGGCCATTCCAGGAGTGTCTCAGTAAAGGAAAGGTAAGACTGATAGAAAATAACATTAGATTTGAATCACTGAGCCTCCTAGGGAAGAGGAAAGCTGCATAAGAAAAAAACCGCCTCTGGTATTATTACATTTATCTGGTGGGGGGTGGGGTGGGGGGAGTACAATATAGAGAATTTTTTTTTTTAAGTAGGCCCCACACGGAACATTGGTCTTGAACTCACGACCCTGAGATCAAGAGTCGCAGGCTCCACCGAGTCAGCCAGGCACCCCTATAAAGGACTTTTAAAGTCTAGTTTGTCTTCATATTAAAAGTGACCGTCAAGTGGTTCAGCAGCTTAACAAACCCAAGCTAAAGCTATTATAGCTGTCGAGTTCCATTTCATGATTTCATTTCATGACGTGTCTTTATCCCAAGTAAATAAACGAGCAGGCAGGGTACCTCTTGCAGCAGTAGATGCAAAGCCAGGGCGAGCCCCCGATCAGCACTAGGACAGTGAGAGCCAACGCCGTCACGTAGAATATACTCCACTCTGGGAAACAAGAAAGGCAGAGGGGACACGGTTACATGCTGTTCGCAAAACAACTTTATGAGTATTTCTGAGTTCTTACGAGCAAAGGCCACCTATGGCCTCATCGGGCAGAGCATAAACAAGGTAAATGCAAATAAATCAAGAACAACTTAAAGGTACCCTACTTTGGTGCAATTGGTTCAGGGACCTCATGGGGTATATTTCATGCTGACTTAAGGACAGAACAGAATTATCAAAAACAAATTAATTAAGAAGGAATGCTGTGAACACCCATGTATGACACACCAAAATATTCCTTCCATAATCACAAGAAACACAACCCTCCCCGCCAAAATAGTTCTGGCCTAGTCTTTAATAAGGCAAATAAAATATCTGTATGGCTACCTATGACACAAACACACTTCCGAGAGCCAGACAGTAATTCAGAAACCACCTGATCTGTATTCCTTCCACAACCTTGCACAAATCCAGTATAAAAAGCTTTGCAACAGCAATTCGGGACAGAGAAACCAAGGGCCCAAAGACATAGGCTTAACCCTAGTAAATGTTATATATGCTCCTTGGAATAATGATCCAAGGGCTGGCTATTTTCAAATTTCTCGGCCAAATACATGCATCTGGATCCCCAAGGCAACAAAATTACTCTTGGAAATAGACTGGCATTAAAATAGATTCCTCCCCAGAGGAGATGTCAGGGCACGAGCTGGGCTGAGAAGGTGGCTCCCATTCTTGGTGCCTGCCTGGCAGACATCTAGGAGGAGTGGGCCAGACTCTCCCGTTCATCTGCGTCCAGCAGGTCCACACCAGGAAACACGTCACCAGAAGGCCAACCGAGCCCAAGCCAAGGCAGGTGCACCCCAAAAACGGCCCAAGGGGCACAAAGCAACTCTCTCAGCAATGCGGGTGGTGGGTAGCCAACTCTGCTCTGCCCAAGTGGGTTTCCTTATCAGGAAGGTTTACGGAAAAGCCTAGGCATGTCCGTCCGCATTGATGGTAGGGGGTGGGGAGGATCTTAACTCACTGCGCCTTGGCTTCAGGCAAGGAGAGGGCGACTGTTTACAGCAGCAGAATGGGGCAGATATTTCTGGTATTTCAAAAATGGTGTGTCCCAACGCTCCTCGCCCACAGCCGCACCCCCAGCCCCAGACTCACCGCAGTTGCTCTCCCCATCCCGGATGTAACGCTGTATCAGGTTCTCCATCCACAGCTGGGAGCACACACAGCGCTTCGTGATGGGGTCACAGTGACCATGGCCAGAGCACTGCAGAAGGCAGCCTGCAAAGAGGCGGGTGCGGCTGAGGCTGGTGTGGTGGCGGGCAGGAGGGGGAACCTGGCTTCTGCCCGCTGTGGGTTTTCATTAGCTCGGACCCTGATGGACGCATCTTGCTGAGTCAAGAGCCTCTTATGGCATGGAGGGGGCCCAGGGGGTCTCTTCATCAGGAAGCAAACAGCAGAAAAAAGCCAATCCACACGGGGTAACAAAAGCCTTAAAAATGAAGCCAACACGTAGTACCCTCTGGCCTAAGAGAGATACATTCTAAGAATTTATCCAGTGAAGATAACTGGGGATGTGCACAAAGATTTGTCTACAATTATAGCATTATTTAAAATCAACCTAAAGTCCTTGAGTGGAGGACTGGTTGAACATATCCTGGATGGAGGACAGTGCAGCCATAAATATCCTCTATTGAGGGAGAAATTGTAAAAGATTTGAAAAAAATGATAATATGATTTGCAGTTAAAAAGCAGATTAAAAATATTTATCGAATTATCCTGATTGTATCACATGTTTCTAGAGAGGGAGGAACTGGAAGGAAATACATCAGAATATTAACGAAAGTTAAGTTTGGAGGGTGGGGATTCTAGGCTCAAGAATCTAGAGCATTGTGCTTTTTTTGCCTTTCTAGATATTCCAAACTTCCAAACTGATACATAAGACATTATTTTTGTAGCTAGAAAAAAGGGGATTATTAAAAAATTTAAGTTAGTGCACGCTGAGGACGTCAGTTGCGGACAGACCTCTCTCTGAAACAAGCTAAACTGTCTGCCCGACACTGCCGTGTCCCTCCCGATGCTCACACTCCTCGGCGCCTGTTGGAATGGCCACTTCATCATGAGGGATCCACGCTCCTCAGAAGGTAGAGACGGAGAACTTGGACCAAGACCACATTTCCGAGTACACCCATGAGTCAGTTTGGTGCCAGGACCGGGCAGCAAGCGAGGGGCCAGGATGGAGGTCCAATGGGAGGCACCTGGAAGCCACCCTGCTTTTCCAGAAGTCCAGGAAACACCACTATCACAGCACCGTGATGTCCAGGGAAAAAACTACATGAACACAGCTTTTCCAGCCCAGAACACTTGTGTTTAAAACTGTGCCGACAGCTTAAATATGAAATTTCTGACAATGACCATTATCTGGAGTATAGTTTTAAAAAACTGACCCAGGACTGCTGTTTCTCTTGCTTCCCTCAGAGGCAAAGAGCAGTCGGTAAACGTGTTGGAGGAAGCCCACTGTAAACATAAATGCGAACCAAGTCTCTGGAGGCTAAACGTGAAAATCGTCACACCTCACTCCTCTTTCCATGCCAGTAAAACTTAGCCCTGACTGGCAAGGATGAGTCTGATTTTTTTTTTTAGAATACTCCCAGAGGAATCAACCTATAGGCATATTCTTGGAGGAATTAAGTTCAATATTTAATTGCTAATAAGACAAATTAGGAATATTCCCACAGGAGACATACCTGCTGTGTCGATCCTCAAGACTTTGAAGAGCAAGGAATCGGCCTTCTCCTTTGAGAGCTGCCTGTGCAAACTGTGGACCACGTCGGCAGCTTTGAGAACCTCGAAAGGTGGCCCACTCTGGACATAAAACACGATCACGGTGCTGCAGACAAGAGGGAGGACAGCCATGTGGTCAGGCGGTGACCGACATGCCACATCTGCGCTGGCCGTGTGACCTGGGAGGGTTTTGACTGCCCCAGCCGGTGGTTTGGCAAGGGCACGGGGACGTATCTCGTGGGCCAAGGAACTGATCCGTTTCTAGTCGCAAATAAAGGCTCCTCAGTCCCAGAGCTATCTATTCACCTGATGACAGACAGACCTTTAGATTAAGAGGAGCAATATGCATATGTGTGCAGAGACTCAGCCGTGCGCAGGGCGATGTCTTTACTTTTATCTGTTTATTGAGATATAATTGACTTCCACTGGAATTCCCCCTTCTAAATCGCATCACTCAGTGGTTTTTAGTGTATTCACCACACTGCGCAACCGTCGCCACCACCTATGGTGGTGGGACCCTGTGCCCATTAAGGGGTGACTCTTCTGCATGCCCTCCTCTCTGCAGCCCCTGGCAACAACTCATCCACTTTCCATCTCTCCTGATTTGACTGTATGTCTGATACAAATGAATACACGAGGCATTCTGTGTTCTGCTTCTTCCACTTTGCATGATGGGTCCAAAGTTTATCCACGTCACACTGTCTACCCCAAATTCCTTCCCTTTTACTGCCAAACCATATTCCATCGTAGGGACATTCCTCATTGAGTTTATCCATTCGGCTGATGACGTTTAGATTGTATCCACTTTTGGCTGAACGTATAAATGTTCATGTACACGATTCTGTGTGGACACATATTTATCGTTTCTCTTGGGTACGTATCTCAGAGTGGAATCACTGGCTCGTCTGGGAACTACGTTCAGCATTCTGAGGAACTAATTCCACACTGGCTGCACCACTGTACGTTCCCACCAGAAACACAGAGTGTTCCAATCCTTCCGTGTCCTCACCAATGCTTGTTATGTCCGTCTTCTGGATTATAGCCATCCTAGTGGGTGTGAAGTGGTACCTCAAAAGGATTTTGCTTTGCATTTTCCAATAGCTAATGACGTTGAGCACCTTTTCATGTGCTGATTATCTATTTGTATGTCTTCTCTGGAGACATTTCTATTCAAATCTGTACTTGTTTTCAAGGTTGCCATTAAAAGTACCATAAACTGGGTGGCTTATAACAACAGAAATTTATTCTCTTACAGTTCCATAAGCTAGAAGCTCAAAATCAAGGTATTGTCAGGGTCACCCTGTCTCTGAGTCTCTGAAGGTGTTAGAGGAGACCATGCCCCACACCCTTCTTGCAGCTCTCTGCAGTGGGCGTGCTTGGAGACCCATCAATCCACTGTCACCTGGTGATCTCCCTGTGTGCTGTCTCGGAGTCTCTTCTCTTCTTCCAGGGACACAATCACTCTGGATGAAGGGTCCATCCTACAGCAGTTTAACCTTACCTCAACTACTTCCATCTGCAGAGATCCTGTTTCCAAATCAGGTCACGCAGGTAGTAAGGGTTAGGACGTAAATGTATCTTTTGAGGGGCCACAACTCAGCCTACAAGTGTTTTTATCATGAAAGGCTGTTGGATTTCATCAAATGCTTTCTCTGTGCCTACTAAGATGATCATATGGTTTTGGTCCTTTATTATTTTTTTTAATGTTTTATTTATTTATTCATGAGAGTCAGAGAGAAAGAGAGAGAGAGAGAGAGAGAGAGGCAGAGGCAGAGGGAGAAGCAGGCTCCCCACTGAGCAGGGAGCCCGATGTGGGGCTCGATCCCAGGACCCTGGGATCACGACTTGAGCCGAAGGCAGATGCTTAACCATCTGAGCCACTCAGGCGCCCTGGTTTTGGTCCTTTATTAATAGGTTTATTACATTTATTGATTGACCTACCCTGCATGCCTGGGATAAATCCCACTTTGGCTATGGTGTCTACTTCTTTTAATATGTTGCTGGATGCAGTTTCAAAGTATTTTGTTGAGGATTTCTGCTTCTATATTCATAAGGGACATTGGTCAGTAGTTTTCTTGGGAATGTCTCTGTCTGGTTTTATTTTTAGGTTTTTTTTTTTAAAGATTTTATTTACTTGAGAGAGAGAGTACGAGCAGGGGCAGGGGCAGAGGGAGAGGGAGAAGCAGACTCCCTGTTGAACAGGGAGCCCGACATGGGGCTCAATCCCAGGACCCTGGGATCATGACCTGAGCTGAAGGCAGACACTTAAGCGACTGAGCCACCTACGTGCCCCTCTGTCTGGTTTTAATATCAGAGTAAAAACTGGCCTCCTAGAATGAGTTGGAAAGTGTTCCCTCCACTTCTCTGTTTTGGAAGAACTTGTGGAAGTGGTGGTAAATCTTTAAATGTTTGGTAAATTCACCAGTGAAGCCATCTGGTCCTGGGCTTGGTGGGTAGTTACTGATTACTGATTTAATCTCTTCCCTTTCTACAGGTTTGTTAAAATTTTTAATTTCTTCTCGAGTCTTTCTAGGATTGTGTCCATTTCATCCAGGTTAACTAATTTGTTGACATACCATTACTCACAGAATAATCCTTTTTATTTCTATATGGTTGGTAGGAATATCCCCTTTCATTCTTGATTTTACTAATTTGAGTCTTCTATTTTCTTGGTCAGTCTAGCTAAAGGTTTATCACTTCTGTTAATTTTTTAAAGAAATAGCCTTTGGTTTTGTTGATTTTCAGACTTGTTCAGTGTTTGATATTTTGTAAGTAAGGGAAATGTGTGATTTGTTTTGAAAGAATGAAACAATAATGAAATTTATGAAAAAGTAATTAAAATTCTATGAAAAAATAATTAAAATTCTTTTAACTTGGTATTTTTCTAAATAAACTTCAATTGTCTGGAAAACAAACCTAAACAGAGTAGCTGACGATAACTGGCCAATAGATTTACTGTGAATGGTAGGTTTTCATTCCCATACTTTCTCTCCTCCCACCCACCCTACTACTCATAGATTGGATAAGCATTCAAAAACAAAAGCTCAATTAAATATATAAATCTTATATAAAGGCCAGAGGTTTAGCCTCCTAGACTCCCAGAAGACAGCAATGGTAATCAATGCTCCTCTCACACCGCCAGAAGCCTCAGTCCTGGGAATGTGGGGTAGGGATGAAGTCTGGCTGTGAGGCATCCTCTGTGCCAGCCCCAGGCCATTAGCACGACCTCTGAACATAGCAGAGCTAACCACCAGTTCCAGCTGATGGTTGCTAACTCCTTCATCTGGAACATTCTCGGTCAACAAACATTTACTGTTTGTAAATGGAATGATGTTGTCCTTACTGCTGCCCTTTGAGAAAAAGAATGTATGGATGGGATACAAGCGTGTGCAAAACTAGACAACACGCAAAGGGAACAAACAGGATCCTGCCGGACAGGTATGCAGCTCACACCTGAGATCCGAGTGGGCCTGGATCTTCTGAACCTTAACGTCTGAGTCTGGCACATTCAGCAGGGCCGCCAGGTGTCTCATGAGGGTGTCCTTCTGCTGCTCGGTCAGCTGCCCCACGCCCACCTGCAGGGTCAGCTCCACCAGTCCACTCTTCCTGGGGTCTGCGAAACCAGAACACATGGGATTTCCACTTGGAAATCCTGCTGGACAACATAAGGAGCAAGGCCCACACAAGGATTTAAAGAGTTTAAAATGATCCCAAGGTAACTTCTTAGGACTTAGGACTTTTCCTGGAAGATAACCAGGGGTACCTAAACAGCCTCTGGGCTACCTTAAAACTTTGGCACTGCACACCCTGCACACCCTTCCCTCAGCCTCGGCTGCGCGGGCCGCTCTCGCCCCGTTTTCGTGGGGTGCTTGGAGGCCCCTCACCAGAGCTGCCCCCTCTGAGCTCCCACCCTGAAGCTCCTGTGTCTGCTTCACTTTCTGGCAGCAACACAGAAGGGACACGAGATTCCTGCTGCCACATTCAACTCCCCGTCATGAGCTGAGAGGCCAAGTCTGTCTGGGGATACACAGTGAAGAGCAGAGAAAGCCACACCATGGCTCTGGCCAGGAGCTGAAGCCAGCCACGGTGGGCACCCCAGCCGGGGGGACCCTGTCCACTGTGAAGAACCCGAAAGTGGGCCGCCTAGATCAGAGACCAGCACATTAGCCCAGGCGCACCTGGCCGCACTTCCACGGTGGCCGTGTCTGTGTCCGAGGCCCCCTGACCATCAGCAACTTGCAAGCGGAACGTGTAGATGCCCTCCACCAGATTGGTAAGCTGCAGGGCTGCGCTTCGGTCGGAGCCCTCGATGACATCCTGCAAAATAACGCGATTCTCGAGTCGACGCTCAGTCCCAACTTCTGGCCCACTGCTGATCCCAGACCTCAGGGGCCCATCTTTCTAATGTGTGCATGACTGTAAGGGGCAGGCGGAAGAGGAAGGGGCTGGTGGGTTAGCTGAAGAGAGGGGAATCCTCAGCAGCTCTTCCAAAGAAAGCACCGGGACACACAGATTCCTCAGACAGGATTTCTGAGCTGCGCTTACCAAGGGCTGTCCAGCCATTACCAAATTGTTCAGTTCACCCAACACAGGGGATAACTGTTGAAATGAGGGTGAAGCACCCCCTCTGAAGAGTTTCTGGGTCTTATTTTCAAACACAGTTTTACAATAGTCTCTAATGTATCACATTTACCTTCTCAAATGACCCAAGAGCCCAAGTAAAATATTTCTGCTCCTGGGGGATCCGAGATCCACAGGATTAGAGAAGAATCTCAGACACCCCTGCTCTGCACTTGCTAAGAGAAGAGGGTGGTAAGCAGAGGTAACAAGTGCTCTGAACAGACAGCTGCTATACTAGAAGCTAATCTACCCTCTGGCTGAAGAGTATTCATTCCAGAGGTGCTTCAGCAAGTATAAAACATGTTCAGTTCCTTCCCTGTGACCACTTCTTTTATTTTTTTTTTAAGATTTATGTATTTATTAGAGAGAAGGTGAGAGTGTGCATGCACAAGCTGGGGGGAGGGGCAGAGGGAGAGGCAGAGAGGCAGACTCTCCACTGCATGTGGAGCCCGACAAGAGGCTCAATCTCACAACCCTGAGATCATGACCTGAGCCGAAATCAAGAGTCAGACGCTTTGCTGACTGAGCCACCCAGGTGCTGCTCGCCTCCCCCCACCCCACCCCACCCCACCATGACCACTTCTTTGGTGCATGTCCAAGAGTATATCTGCAACTCTCAAGTCCTTAGCAATAGCAGGAATGAAGATGTACCTAAATGTATAGCCTCAGAGGTGGAGGGATCTATGGGGAGAAATGTCTGCCAGGAGCTAAAAACTTGGGTCTGCCTGGTTTTATTAAGGATGAGTTGGTTGACCTTGGCCAAGTCATTTTCCATCTCTGCATCTCGCTTCCTGTACTTGTGAAATGGGAACAGCGATCCTGGACCAACTGACCTCTCTGGCAGGACGGGAGGAAACAGAAAGAATCCACTTGGACCCAAAGAGAAACAGCGGGGAAGCTGAGGAGCAGAATGATGCCCATGGGAAGACTTGGCTTTAAAGTCCCCCCCAGGCTGTGGTCTCCTACCCCATGCAAAGTCTGGTCCAGGAAAACAACAGGGAAGACTTTAGCCTTTGCTTGAATCTAAGAGCAGCTTGCTGCCTCCAGGCCTCAGAGAAAACCCAGAAGCATAAACACCTTAGTGGGGAGCATGGAGAGGGAGATGAGGTCATAATAGAAATGCTAAGGACTTAACTGTGTGGCCTTCACATTCAACTGCTGAAGCCCTAGCCCCTAGTGTGACTGACTGTGTTTGAAATCGGGCCTGTGAGGAGGGAGGTAGGGTTCCATGAGGTCATAAGGGTGGGGCCCTGATTCCACGGGATTAATGTGCTTGAAGAAGAGACAGCAGAGAGCCCTCCCTCCCTCTCTGCTGTGTGGGGACACAGCGAGAAGGCAGTCACCTGTGAGCCAGAGAGCTCTGGCCAGGAGCCAAATCATCCAGAGCCTTAACCTTGGACGTCATGGCCTCCAGAACTGGGAGACATGTCTGTCTGTCGTGGAAGCCGCCCAGGCCATGGTATTTCCTTACAGTAGCCCGAGCAGACTCACTCCGCGTGATGTAAGCGGGACAACTCTTGTGGAACACTCACCCCAGCGGCTGGGCTCTGGCCATCCCGGACCCACAGGTAGGACACAACTCCTTGGTCATCGGTAGACCTCGAACCGTCCAAAGTAATGCAGTTATTGGGAAGCACAAGCACATGGCGGCCACCAGCGTGGGCTCTGGGAGGACTGTTATTCTCTAAGTCAAATATAGCAAAAATGAAAGCAGAGATGGATTTGAAATGCAGGTGGCAGAAAAGTGTGGTAGACTATCCACAATGGCTCCATCTTGCACATACGTAGATTTAAAAGAGCCGAGAGGCACTGTTTTCTACCCGTAATATATAGACGTTCTTGTAGCTCTGTTTATGCGTAGCTGTAATCTGGTGGCCTGTACACGGGGAGATTCTAATAACACGACAGTTTTTCTCTTTTTGAAAAAGCAAAAATGACCTTACTTATCAGGGTCCAGAAAGTGAAAATATTTTAGCTTAAAATATATTCTGAATCATTATGTACTTTAAATTAAAACTTGACTCAAAAACAATCAGGCCTTCACTCCTCCACCTGGGTGTTAAATATGCATGAACAACGTTAAGAGCCATTTCTGATAAAAATCGCCTCAGGAGAGAGGAGCCAGGAGAATGGGGTGCAGGGGGAGACCATAATAAGACACAGCCCCACTGTGGGGATGAGGCTGCTGTGAGGGAAATCTGCGTGTTCAGGTGGTGCTCTGGGACCCTACCTGACCCTTGGCCCCTTGCAAATGCCCCTTAAAAACAAGTCAAGCAAAAGTCATGGGGTGAGCATAGCCAGATGTTGATCCAAGGGAGCAATGAGCATCCCGTCAATCACCAGCCACTTTCCTCCTGAGAAAACACCCCAGATATTAGAGCAGAGGCACCTGGTACCATTAGCAGCGTTTCCACATTGTCCACCACATGCCCTTTCTGGGAGGACTTGTGGGGAGAACCTGGTGTGAAGGCTTAATTCCACCATGGACCAAGCGGGAGGCTGGAACCCACAGAAACAGAATGGCAGTAGACTGCGTAAGCCCGAAAATCCTTCTGTGAGAAATGATTACTACACCCTCTCTCGCTTCAACGCTGGACTTAAGGCAGCCACCCCCTTCCACGCTTATGTCCCTGCAATCTTGAACTCCGTCAGGACGCTCCCCGGGCACTCTCTGGGCACTCCATTGCCACAAATCTGCCATGTCCAAACTCAACCCCCCACAAACCCAGGGCTGCTCTTCTCTGGATGGAGGTCAGAGCATGGCGCCACCACCCACCCATGTGCTGAAGTCACCGTCCCTGAGTCATTGGGACACCCACCATCTTTCTTCCCTCCAGAACCACTGAGGCATCAAGTCCTGAGACTTCAGGCTCTAAGATGTCCTTCTAGTCAATCATTTCCCCCCTGCTCTCCCTGCTGCTGACCTCTCTTCCCATCAAACCATTACCTGTCTTAAAAATCCCCAACTCTCAGGTAAAATGACATGGTGCTAGGGTTTGCTTTAAAATACTCCAACCAAAATAAAAGAAAATATGAATGGCTAGATGACACAAGACTGGCAAACCACTGTTGGCTGTTGAAGCTGGGTGATGGGGACATAATGGTCCAATGAGCCTATTTTCTCTACTTTTATATATGGTTGAAAACATCTACCATAAAACATTTGAAAACAGCCAGACCCATGTCACTTTGCTGATAAAACTGCTTCAGCCTCTCCCACCTGGCCAGCAGACGAAGTCCCAGGCTCCTCAGCCTGACACATGACCCTTCACAGATTGAGGCAAAAGCTCAGCCATTCCCCAGCACACCCACCACTGGCTGGTCTACAGGACCCGACTTTGTCCAGCATGCTCTTGACCACCCCTGTGCTTCAACACATCATGATCATCCATCCATCCATCCATCCATCCATCCACCCATCCGTTCCAGTGCCCAGCATTTGTGAGTTGCCATGAGCCTTGCATTGTGCCCCAGAGGACACAGAAATGTCTGGAACGAAGGTCCTCAAGCAGAGTGGCATGAGACTAGACCACAAGTTAACAAACAATATGGAACTTGAAAACATCTCTGCTCTTCGATTCCCAGGGAGGAGAGAGCGAGCATAACGCCATCACATGGACGCGGGTGTTTCATTGCTAGTAGTCACAGAACAAGAGGGAAGCCCATTGAAGGTTCACTCGACACACAAAAGGAAATGCTGTTTCTCTGCAGAGGGAGACTGGGAACAGCGAGCATGCTCGGGGGAAGAATGGCTTTTTCTTGGCTGACATGAGTTCAGAGTCTGCGGTGAACCTATAAACACCAGTGCTTCTGAACAATCATGGCTGAGGGTCTTGTGAGATGGGAAAGCAGAAGGTGCCCACCCGCCGCGGTGCCAGAACTCACCCTTCTTCACGGCCACAGTGAGGGTGGTCGTGCTGCTCAGCCCCTGCCCATCAGTCACCGTCAGACGGAAGTGGTGGGTCCCCACCCGGAGCCTGCGCACTGTGGCTACAGCGTCGTCGGGATTTTCCATCTGCACAGCGCCTGGGCCTCTGTGGAACAGGGAAGTGAACAACAAAACAGAGCAGGCACGGTATCTGTGTCCTTATAAAAGCCCGTTTCTACAGCTAAAACACAGCATCTAGAGAATTCCAAGATAACTTTTTATCCACTTAAATTCTCTAGTTCAGGGTACGGGTCATAAGTTAATGCCTATTTTAGAATGAGCCTGCGGGATTCCTAGGAAGAAGGTTTTTGTTTTTTGGGGGTTATTTTTTAAGATTTTATTTATTTATTTTAGAGAGAGTGCACATGCAGGGGGAGGGGCAGAGGGAGAGACAGAATCCCAAGCAGACTCTGCGCTGAGTGTGGAGCCCAACACGGGGCTCAGTCTCACAACCCCGAGATCATGACCTGAGCTGAAACCAGGAGTCGGGTGCTTAACCGACTGAGCCATCCAGGTGCCCCCAGACCCGTTTCTTTGTTTTTTTTTAATTGAACTGTCAGTGAAATGATCTGTCCTTACAAAACAGAGTCTTAGAAACTACTCCCATTTTCTCTTTGAATGAAATTAGGTTAAATCCTCATCTATCTTGACAGAGAGTATGGAAGAGGAAGGGATGAGCCAGATCACGGATCTCCAAAGGGGAATTACAGTGCGGTTATTAAGACTGTGGGCCCTGTCTTCGGAAAAACCCAGTGCCCCCTCTTACCGTCTGGGCAAACCTAGGCTAGTGATCTCACTAGTTTCTGAGAGGCAGAGCAGATGGTTTGAGTGAGTGTAGCCAGGAGGCCTCTGAGGGCCTCCCACAGGTCTCCCAGCACCTCGTCGGTCATGAAGCTCTCCCACCCCAGATGGCCCCTTCCACACTTGATCTGCTCTTCAACAACAGTGCTCCTCACTCCCCAGCATGCTCAAGTTGACTAATTTGGGCCCTCCAGAGAGGGGGGGATGTTAGCCCTGGGCCAGGGGCGTGACCCCCACGGCTCAGTGGTAAGGGGGCCTACCGGACGTGCTCCCAGTGGTAGAGGACGATGCCCTGGTCGTCAGTGCTCCTGCTGCCATCCAGGGTGGTGCTCTCCACCGGGAAGACCAGCTCCTTGTCAGGGCCGGCCACAGCCACCGGAGGCCTGTTGCTTTCTAGAATTACAGAAATGGTGGGAAACGCTATTATCTCTTCGGATTAAGTCTGCGATCCCCTGCTTTCTTGATTTTAGCAAATTACTCCTATTTGGATCAGGCAGGGACTAGAGTGTATGGTGTTCCGGGGGAATCCTGGGGAGAAACACTGCAGTTCTGAGGGTGAGGCTGGGGGGTGCAGACAGCAGGAAATATTGTTCCCTAATACATACATGTTTGATTTCCTTAAAAGACCTCGAGGGGCACCCTGGGTGGCTCAGTCCGTTAAGCGTTTGACTCTTGGTTTCGGCTCAGGTCATGATCTCAGGGTTGTGAGATCAAGCCCCCCACCACCGTCAGGCTCCACACTGAGCGGGGAATCTGTTTGAGGATCCCCCCCACCTCGTGCATGTGTGTGCGTGTGCGATCTGTCTCTGAAATAAATAAAATAAAAGACCTCAAAAGTCATGGAGTCAAGAGAGAAGCAAAAGGAACAGGATGGGCAGAGAAGGGAGGAGGACTGGGGAACGGGATGGGCAGAGGAAGGGAGGAGGACTGGGGAACGGGATGGGCAGACGAAGGGAAGGACTGGGGAACGGGATGGGCAGAGGAAGGGAGGAGGACTGGGGAACGGGATGGGCAGAGGAAGGGAGGAGGACTGGGGAACGGGATGGGCAGAGGAAGGGAGGAGGACTGGGGAAGGGGATGGGCAGAGGAAGGGAGGAGGACTGGGGAACGGGATGGGCAGAGGAAGGGAGGAGGACTGGGGAACGGGATGGGCAGAGGAAGGGAGGAGGACTGGGGAACGGGATGGGCAGACGAAGGGAGGAGGACTGGGGAACGGGATGGGCAGACGAAGGGAGGAGGACTGGGGAACGGGATGGGCAGACGAAGGGAGGAGAACCGGGGAACGGGATGGGCAGACGAAGGGAGGAGGACTGGGGAGAGTGGGGGAGGCAGGCAGGAACTGGAAGGAAGGGAGTTGACAGTTGCTTTGTCAGGCAGGACTTACTTCCTTTTGTCTTTGTAGCCCCAGTGCCTAACACAGTGCCTGGTAAATAATAAATGCTCAAAACATTTCGGTTAAGTGTTGAACAACAGTAAAAGGTATAAGGGGCGCCTGGCTGGCTCAGCCAGTAGAACACACGACTCTTGATCTCAGGGTTGTAAGTCCAGCCCCACGCTGGGCATAGAGATGACTTAAAAATAAAATCTTAGAAAAAAAAAAAAAGATTAAAAAAAGCAAAAGATATAAAGTATTGCTGATATTGATATTGAAATAGACAAATGTTCTGTTAAAATAAAAGTCATGGAGTCAAAAACTGAAGCCGCTATGACCCAGTATCTGGACCATGTCCAACCCTCACTGTGCTACTCAGTAAAGTTCAGGGAGGCAGTGGTTTCTCTCGTCCTTAGGATCAAACACAGGGCCATCCATTACAAAGCCCCGGATGGGGAGCCCCGCCTCCCTCCGGAGCATCTCTCGGCATTCTAACCCCGCGCCTCACACTCCCGCGTCCTCACCGCTTTCTCTCGTCCCACTAGATTCTTTTTAATTCCTTCAACTACCAAACTCCCTTTCATCCCATGGCTTTCATACACTGTTTCCTTCACCTAAAAAACTCTTCCTCTTGCCCTTCTCTCCGTAAATTCACCTGGCCAACTGCAGACCTGAGCTCAGGTAAGACTCTCTGCAGATGCCTCAAGCCCAGGAAGGTGGGTCCTTTCATGGGCTCCAGCAGCACTGTGTCCATCCCCTAGAAATGCACTGATCCTGTGGTTTTTCAGCGGACTTCCCCATGAGCCCTGGGAGGACAGAGACCAAGTCTTTCTTGTTTAATTCCACATCCCCAGGGTCTAACCACTAGCACTTACTACATACCAAAGTGAATAAATAAAACAAATAAATGCGTTGCCTATAAGCTGAGTGTATTTTCAGTTCCCAGTATACTGGACAGTTACTGGGATTAGCAGCATCTTCTAGAAAAGTTCTAAAGCAAAGCGCACTGTCATGCAAAAACCTAACCACCCTTAAGGTTATTTAAATCGGCAGGAAGGCAGAGTCCTGGGTTTTCATGAAAACATTAATGGATTGAGAGCTGACCTGGAGTCAAGTCTCCATCTGACTATGAGCCATTGAGCTACCAGGCCACACATCATGACCAGACCCTTCAAGAAGGCCGTGGAGCTCTGCAGTAGAGTGGGACACCTGGAGGAGTGTCTACTCTTCAAGAAGGCCCTGGAGCTCTGCAGCAGAGTGGGACACGTGGAGGTGTGTCTACCTGGCAAGTGGAGCCCTCAAGGGGCCCTGAGGATGTCCATCTGGGCCTCCATGCCATGGTTTGAAGACACAGTCAACACAAGATTCCGAACCACAACAGAAACCTGGCTTTGTATTAAGATTCAGCTCCTCCAGCCCCAATTTCTTGATAGTTAAGACAGAGAATTTGCCTCCAAATTTCACTTGTCTGAAGCACAGAAGCCCAGGTGTCATTTCTGCCTTAATCTCTGGGACCAAAGCCCCCTTCTATCTCACCTACCGGGCTGGACAGTCACAGTGACCACAGCCGTGGATCGCTGCTTTGAAGAATCTGTCACCATCAGCTGGAACATATAGTCTCCTTCCTGCATGGCCGACAAATGAAGGTATGGTGTCTCAACACCCTAAGTAAAAGCAAGTAGAGATGAGAAAGAAAAAAAAAAAATTTTAAGAAGTAGCATGACGTAATGAAAAATGAATGCTTTTGCTAAATATGGAGATCCTGCCTGAAAAAGAAATGTGTGTGCCCCAAGGAAATGCAATCTAAAGTTCAGTGTGTTTCCTCATACGCTGTTGAAGAAGTACAAATTAATTTGGCCTTTTTGGAGGCCCATCTGGCAACATCCGTTGACATGTTAAATGAGCATACTCTAACCAGTGATTCTACTTCTTACTACCTACGCTAGAGAAATGCCCATGCACACAAGGAGCCTCACACCTGGATGCTGAGAGAAGCATTGTTTATAGTAGCAAACAATGGAAACAGTCTAAATGTTCATCAACAATGGGGCACCTGGGTGGCTCAGTTAGTTAAGCAGCCAACTCTTGATTTCAGCTCGGGTCGGGATCTCAAGGTCATGAGATCGAGCCCTGTGCTGGGCTCCACACTCATTCGGGAGTCTGCTTGAGATTCTTTCTCTCCCCACCGCTTGCACTCTCTCTCTAAAATCAAGCAATCAATCAATCATTCTTTAAATAAACTTTCATCAATGGGGCGTGGCCAGACCCACCATGATACACTACAACGCTAGTTTAAATGAGAAAGTTTAAAAGAATAAGGTAGATTTATACATACTGAAATGGAGCTGGTCTCCATGCTAGGCGTGTAGCCTACTTAAAGGAAAAAAAAAAAGTCTGTAGCTTATAAATAATGAAATGCAAAGATGTCAAAGACATACCATCAAGCAAAAAGAGAAAGTTGCAGAACAATGTATATAACGTGACAGATATTTCTATGCGTACATATGCATATACACAGAACACATAGAAAAGATTCTGTAAGGACAGACATTAAACTGATAAAATTATCACCATAAGGGGACTGGGGTACAATCAAAGTGTATTTGTACTTTATCAGAAGTTAACTTTTTTTTTTTAACTACAAGAAGCAATTCATGCATTACTTTTATAAGTAAAAATAATTTTTTAAAACTCTAAGACAACAAAATTTTTCAGTAAGACATTTTTTCAATTGAATATATAATACTGTACTTGTCTCCAGGTTAACAACTTTCACTTTGTTGCTATTGTGTTGCTGTTGGTAACATTTCCAATAACTGCTTATGTTTGAAATTCATGGCATCATGGAAAGGATTTTTAATCCTAAATCCTACTATAATTTATTTACTTTTATAGATCCCAAGATTGTCTAAAGATAAATGTATCTGCATGTATCTATTAAAGGTTTTAATGGAAAATTGAAAAAGAAAACTGATAGAAAATCAATTGTGTTATCACGAGGGAACTTGTGAAATTTGAAATACATACTTTTAAGAACTTAGAAAAGGTGTTTTTTCCTACTTTGACTAAATAAAGCAAAGCATTTTGCTCTGAAAAGCTCTACAAAAGTATAATTTCCTAGTACTTACTTCAAAATTAATATGGTTACATAAATGCTTATGCACACGGTACAGGTAATGTTGTGGCAAATGGGAAGTGGGCAGACTCATACATGTCACCAAGCACCCTCAAAGCCACCATATGCTCCAGGTAATAGCCTGGAGTCTTCAGATGGCCTTCCCCCATCTAAAGCAAAGCCTCAGCAGGATGCCCTGCACGATGTTTAGACTAATAATCTAAGACTCCAGTTTACACAGTCATCTTTGTGATTTCCCAGTTAATAAAAAGATCACCCCTTTTAACATCTTCATCCATCAATCACAAGACAATAACCTTGTTACTGGGGATAATCTCAGAATGTCCACTGCAGAAGGGCAGGTGTGGAGAAGCTGGCCCTGTGCCCAGCACTTGCTGATTCCCTTGGACATACATTGGGCAGATATGGATGAATTCTGGGGTGTGAGCTTTGGGCACATAATTCTCAATAACTAAAGGAAAGAAAATTTGGATTTTTTTTTTTTAATTTTATTGGTAAGTAATCTCCATATCCAACGAGGGGCTCTAACTCACAACCCTGAGATTAAGAGTCACACGCTCTTCTGACTGAGCCAGTCAGGCATCCCCGGAATATTTTTTTAACCAAGGAAATACAAAATATCCCATCTTTCTGTTTTGCATGCAAAGCCCTCTGAATCAGAAGTCTTAGCACAACAGAAGCAAACAGCACGTGCCACAACCCTTAGAGATGGACACTACGGCACGGCCCTCTCAAGTTCCATACACCCAACCAGTCATTTTAAATTCATCATAATTGCAAAATACTGTCCACAAACATCAGAATGTAAAGTAGGTAAGCTTTCCTGGGATATCTGACTTCATCTAAAATACTAACAAGAAATTTATGTTGGACAGATGAGATGGAATTTGAAGGAGAAGTACAGGTGGCAGTATAAGGTCCTACCTTTTTTCCATTAAACTTTCAAATAATAACCTGAAACTAACATAACACTGTATGTTAACTGGAATTAAAATAAAAACGGAAGGGGTGCCTGACTGGCTCAGTCAATAGAGTATGCAACTCTTGCTCTTGGGGTCGTGACTTTAAGCCCCACATTGGGCATAGGGCTTGCTTATATACATACATAACAAAAAAAAGAATAAAATGAAAACTGTCAAATAATAACTTAAAAAGAGCAAGCTGGTTAGCAATAAAAACAAATAGTTCTGGCCACCACCAAAAGAAGAATAAGCAAATAGCTTATACACACTCATGTGCACACATACTACTCACAGCAAAAGTGTCTATGGCAGTATGTCTTTCGACAAATAGATTCGAGCAAATTAAAGTTTAGATACAAAAAGGTCTTAAAAAGAGACCACTAGATCCAGAAAAGATGACAATGAAGTTTCTAAAAATATGACAAACAAAATAAGGAAAAATTTCCTGATAATAAATTTTATGTTGGATTATTTCTAAAGTTTCTCCCAATACTAAAATAATATTTCTGTAGCAAATGTTGGGTCATACTTTCCCCAAATTAGCCTCAAGGTCAAGCTATCAACACAGGACCCACTTAGTTTCTATTCTGTGCTTACAGAGAATGGATGAGGGGAAAGGATGTAAGTTTGGAAAATCTATGAATTTAGGTGCTCTTCTAATAGTTGTAATACATCAGACAATCTTATAAAACATATTTTCTGGATTTATACCACATAACAATAATTTAGGTAGGTAGGAAGGTAGGTAGATGTGTGAACAGTTTTAAATGGACAGACATACAGATGGATGGATGGATAGATGGATGGATGGGTGGGTGGGTAGATGGGTGGATAGGTAGATGGATGGACGATGAATGGATGGGTTCATGGATGGATGGGATTCATAGGTGGATAGATGAATGGATGGGTGGGTGGGCAGATGGATGGGTGGGCGGATGGGTGGACAGATGGATGGATGGACAGGTGGGTAGGTGGCTAGATGAATGGATGGGTGGGTGGATGGATAGGTAGATGGATGGACAGGTGGGTGGGTGGATGGATGAATGGATAGATGGTTAGATAGATGGGTAGGTGGGTGGTTGGATAGATGGGTAGGTGTGTGGGTGGTTGGTTGGATAGATGGGTAGGTGGGTGGGTGGTTGGATAGATGGGTGGGTGGCTGGATAGATGGGTAGGTGGGTGGGTGGCTGGGTGGCTGGATGGACAGACAAGTAAAAGTTTGAAGGCAGGATAGAGAACTTGCCTGCATGGCCACCTCTTTGCTCTTACTCCCTGGACCCAGGGACCACTCATAGAGGACAATCTGGTGATCATCACTGCTCTGGTTTCCATTCAAAGTGATGGAGTTTTGGGGCAAAGTTATGGTCTGATTTGGTCCTGCATTGGCAACTGGAGGATGGTCCACAGCACTGCTGACTATTAGGGATGCAGTTGTGGAATTAGCGGCTCCATCCGAGTCTGTAACAGTCAATCTACAAAAAGGAGAAATATGAGAAAAAAAATAAGGAAAAATGTTGCAAAAAAAAAAAAAATCACGTTGCAAGAAGATGCCAAGTCTTAAGGCAAATGGTCCATTTAGTCTGCCCATGGTACATTTCTCAGAAAAACTCAGAAGAGGTGTAAACAGAAATTTGAGGATGAGGCTGAGAAAAGAAGAGTGTATCTGAGGGTTTTTTTGTTAATGTGTTGCTGTTGATTTATTTTATTTTTAGCTAGTAATACAGCCACATGATGGAGTTGTATCTTGTATGGGTTTCTGACTAGTCTTGGAGACGCCAGATGAATAAATCTTCCTCAACCAACATAGGAACCTCCCTCTAGTACCTGAGACAAAGAATGTGTCGGGGTTAGGTCCTGCCTTCAGGTGTGAGCATGTGGAGACACTACATCACTCATCATCTACAAAGATTTTGCATTTTTTTAATTCTTTTCTAGAGGACTTAATATAATTGTTTTCAGAACACTCCTTGCAGACATTCGTTCAGGACATCCTGTGGTGAACTCACTACTGATGAGGTCCTGGATCAGGAACTAATATGGTCACTTCATCCTTCTGGGGTAAAGATGTTGGTTCTGAACAGTGATGAATGTTATACGGGTGTTAGTAGGAATAGGATAATGAAGCTATGGGAAGAACACAGGCTTTACCTGGAGTAAGGTGTGTGTATGGGGGCACGTGTATTCTGTGCACCCTTTCACGCTATCCCACACACTCCATACAACCAAGATCTAAACTCTGGTTCAGGCTCTGACAGCAAACCAAGCATCTGAGATCCTTCCTCCTCAGCGAGGCTGTCAGGACACATCCTGGGGCCCCTAAGGGGATTTCTTCATGGTAAAATGGAGACAGCAGCAGTAATGTGCCTCAACTAGATGATGAATTAAGTAAAAATGAAATGGGGAGGAGTTAGGATGGCAGAGGAGTAAGGGGACCCTATGCTTGCCTTGTCCCTCTAACACAGCTAGATAAATATCAACTCATTCTGAACACCCAGGAAATCGATCTGAGGGCTGAGAGAACAAACTGCCGAAGTAGAGGGAGAAAAGAGGCCACACTGTGGAAGGTAGGAGGTGCAGAGATGTGATTTGGGGGAGAAAAGAATCCCGGGGGCTGTAGAGGGGAGGAAGCCCTGATCAGAGAGAGAGCAAACAGCGCACAGGGGATTGAACAAGAAAAACACTTCCCCAAAGCCACTGACTGGGAAAATGAGAGAGCCTCCTTATTGTGAGTTTTTACAATCAACAGAGCTCAAAGACTGAAGTTTTAGAAGTCCACACTGCAGCCAGTGTGGAGCCCAGTGGGCACAGTGGTGCTCCTGTGGAGAAGAAGGGCAGAGGCCTGGGAGTGGACAGTGTGGTCTGAGGATCCCCTGCATCACACTGGGAGAGACAGCTCCCCTTCCTGGAGTGCACTTGGGAGAGGTGGTACTGCCTCACGGGGACAAAAGAGCTGGTGGGCACCACTGCACTGCCCTGTTCATTAGCATAGGAGCAGAGGCACCTGCTGAGGGCAGCTAACCTGGACACCAGCTTTTTGCTGTGCTTTACTCTGAACTCCAAGCACCTGTGCATTCCTGCAACTGCCCTTCTGGGACAAACTCCCACCAGCCCCAGTGCCCCAAGACCCTCCTCCAGAGGATCATCGTGAGTCCAGGCAGTGCCGGGTCCCTAAAATTTGGAGTTCTGAAACTCTGTCAGATGCCAGAGATAAAATATAGAAGCACTGTGCCACCAGGTGGGCAGATAGCTCAGTCGCAGACACGGTGAAGGCAGAGATCTGAGGGAAACCTGGCACACAAGGGAAGATTCTTCACTCTTCTGTGAGGACAGTGAGGGCACAAATTCACCTGTTGGGGGCCCAGGGAGAGGGTGGATGCCATTTTTTTCCTCCACCCAACAGCACCACTGGATTTCAGTGAGCGGCAGAGTGAGTGCCCCCTCCCCACACCCATCCAGGGGAGGCTGGAGCCACTTACCCCAAACTTCACCCCCTGCACTCTGCAGGTGCTTCTATGCTAGGGCAAGTATGCCTAAGAGCCAGGGCAGCAGGCCTCTCCCCCAGAAAACAAGCATAAATCCCCCGCAAGCACCAAGTCTACTGATGATAGAGTGCTGCAAAGTTTCAGCTCTAGTGGAAATAGGATCTGGCCTTTTTTAACAAGCAGATGAAAGCATATCTACTTAAAACTTGTCACACACTGGACAAGGTCCAAACACTCCTTAGTGCAAGCAAGGAAAAACTCAGCAGAGGGCTGACCTGAGGGAAAGAGCCCCCAAAACACAGCAGCAGGGTGCACGTAGCACAGACCAGACACACAACCCGAAGCACGAGGCCCTGGACAGTATATGTATGACCTCTTCTTAATAAGCCATTACTCTCAGGAGCAGGAAACATAAAAGGCTTTCCTAACGCAAAGAAGATACAGACCTAGCCAAAATGCCAACACAGAGGAAATCATCCCAAAAGGAAGAAGAAGAAAAGGTCATGGCCAGGGACCTAATCAAAACAGATATAAACAATATGCCTGCCCCAGAATTGAAAACAACAGTCATAAGGATACTAGCTGGGCTTGAGAAAAGCATAGAAGATATCAGGGAGTCCGTTACCACAGAGATAAAAGATCTAAAAACGAGTCAGGCTAAAATAAAAAATGCTGTAACTGAGATGCGAAACTGACTGGATGTAATGACCACTAGGATGGAAGAAGCAGAGGAGAGAATAGGTGACATAGAAGACAAAATTATGGAAAATAATGAAGCTGAAAAGAAGAGGGAAAGAAAAATATTGGATCACGAATGTAGAATTAGGGAACTCAGCGACTCCATAAAGGGCAATATCATTCGTATCATAGAAGTCCCAGAAGAAGAGTGGGAAAAGGGACACACGGTTTATTTGAGCAAATTATAGCTGAAAACTTCCCTAATCTGTGGAAAGAAACATTCAATCCAGGAGGCACAGATAACTCCCACCAAAATCAACAAAAGCAGGCCAACACTAAGATATATCACAGTAAAAGTTTCAAAATACAAAGATAAGGAAAAAATCCTAAAAGCAGCAAGGGAAGACAAATACGGTTAGCAGCTGATCTATCCACAGAAACTCGGCAGGCCAGAAGAGAGTGGCATGATACATTCAACATGCTGAATGGGAAAAATCTGCAGCCAAGAACACTTTATCCAGCAAGGCTGTCATTCAGGACAGAAGGAGAGATAAAGAGTTTCCCAGACAAACAAAAACTAAAGGAGTTCGTGAACAATAAACCAGCCCCGCAAGAAATATAAAAGTGGACTCTTTTGAGTGGGGAAGAAAGCCAAAAGCAACAGTGGGAAAGGAAGACCGAAAACAACAAAGACTAGAAAGGAAAAGAGAAAATCTCCAAAAACAATGACTTTACAGGTAACACAATGGCATTAATAGCATTATCTCCCAATAATCACTCTGAACGAAGATGGACTAAATGCTCCAATAAGGAGAAGCAGGGTATCAGAATGGATAAAAAAACAAGATTCATCTATATACTGTCTACAAGAGACTCATTTTAGACCTAAAGACACCTGCAGATTCAAACCGAGGGGTTGGAGAACCATCTATCATGCTTATGAGCACCAAAAGAAAGCCAGAGTAGCCATACTTGTATCAGACAAACTAGATTTTAAAACAAAGACTGTAACAAGAGATGAATAAGGGCACTATATCATAATTAAAGGGTCTATCCATCAAGAAGATCTAACATTGTAAATATGCCCCCAACTTGGGAACCCCAAATTTATATATCAATTAACAACAAACATAAAGAAACTCATTGATAACAATACAATAATAGTAGAGGACTTTAACACCCCACTTAAATCAATGGACAAATCATCTAAGCAGATCAACAAAGAAAGAATGGCTTTGAATGACATACCGAACCAGATGGACTTAACAGCTCTGTTCAGAACACTTCATCCTAAAGCAGCAGAATACACATTCTTCTTGGGTGCACATGGAACATTCTCCAGAATAGATAACATACTGGGTCACAAATCAGCGCTCAACAAATACAAAAAGATTGAGACCATACCATGCATATTTTCAGACCACAATACTATGAAACTTGTAGTCAACCACAGGAAAAAATTGGGAAAGACCACAAATACACAGAGGTTAAAGAACATCCTACTAAAGAATGAATGGGTTAACCAGGAAATTAAAGAAGAAATTTAAAAAATACATGGAAGCAAAAGAAAATAAAAACACGACAGTCCAAAACCTTTGGGATGTAGCAAAGCTAAGTATATAGTGATACAGGCCTTCCTCAAGAAGCAAGAAAAATCTCAAATACACAACCTAATCTTAGACCTAAAGGAGCTAGAAAAGGAACAGCAAATAAAGCCTAAATCCAGCAGGCGAAGGGAAATAAAAAGATTAGAGCAGAAATAAATGATATAGAAACTAAAAAAACAACAGAACAGATCAATGAAACCAGGCTGTGGTTCTCTGAAATAATTACTAAAATTGATAAACCCCTTGCCAGACTTACCAAAAACAAAAGAGAAAGGATCCAATTAAATAAAATCACAAATGAGAGGGGAGAAATAACCACCAACACCAAAGAAATACAAAAAAAGTATAAGAGAATATTGTGAAAAACGATAGGCCAACAAACTGGACAACCAGGAAGAAATGGATAAATTCCCAGAAACAGACAAACTACCAAACCTGAAAAAGGAAGAAATAGAAAACTTGAACAGACCCATAACCAGCAAGGAAATTGAAGCAGTAATTAAAAATTTCTCAACAAACAAAAGTCCAGGGCCAGATGGCTTCCCAGGGGAATTCTACCAAACATTTAAAGAAGAGCTAATACCTATTCTTCTCAAACTGTTCCAAAAAATAGAAACAGAAAGAAAACTTCCAAACTCATTCTATGAGGCCAGCATTACCCTGATAGTAAAACCAGATAAAGACTCCACTACAAAAGAGAACTAC